TTTGTCGTGCCCTCTTCACGACTGTGTTGGTGTGTGTGGACCATGATATATCCTTAGTGATGTGGACACTGAGGAACTTGAAGCTCTCGACCCGCACCACAACAGCCTCGTCGATGTGAATGGGGCATGCTCAGCCCTCCGTTTCCTGTAGTCCACGATCAGCTCCTTTTTTTTTTCTGACGTTGGAGGGAGATGTTGTTGTCCTCTGACCTCCTCCCTATAGGCTATCTCATCGTCGTTTGTGATCAGGCCTACCACCGTTGAGTCGTCTGCAAACTTAATGATGGTGTTGGAGTCGTGCGCGGCCATGCAGTCGTCGGTGAATAGGGAGTACAGGAGGGGACTAAGCACGCACCCCTGAGGGGCGGCCCATAAGGAAGTCCAGGATCCAGTCACAGAGGGAGGGGTTCAGTCCCAGGGTCCTTACCTTAGTGATGAACTTGGAGGGCACTATGGTGTTGAACGCTGAGCTGTAGTAAATTAATAGCATTCTCACATAGGTGTTCCTCTTGTCCAGGTGGGAAAGGGCAGTGTGGAGTGCAATAGAGAGTGTGTTATCTGTGGATCTGTTAGGGGCGGTATGCGAATTGTAGTAGGTCCAGGGTGTCTGGCATGATGCTGTTGATGTAAGCCATGACCAGCCTTTCAAAGCATTTCATGGCTACAGATGTGAGTGCTACGGGGCGATAGTCATTTAGACAGGTTACCTTGGCGTTCTTGGACACACAGACTATGGTGGTCTGCTTGAAACATGTAGGTATTACAGACTAGGTTAGGGAGAGCTTGAAAATGTCAGAGAAGACACTTGCCAGCTGGTCAGCGCATGTCCTGGTAATCCGTCTGGCCCTGTGGCCTTGTGAATGTTAACCTGTTTAAAGGTCTTACATCGGCTACGGAGAGCGTGATCACACAGTCGTCCGGAACAGCTGGAGCTCTCATGCATGGTTCAGTGTTGCTTGCCTTGAAGCGAGCATAGAAAGCATTTAGCCCGTCTGGTAGGCTCTCGTAACTGGGCAGCTCGAGGCTGGGTTTCCTTTTGTAATCTGTGATAGTTTACAAGACCTGCCACATCAGACGAGAAGATGCGGGCGGTGTAGTTGCTGTACCAGGGGGTGATACAACCCAACAGAATGCTCTAGATGGGGGCCTCCCGAGTGGCGCAGTGGTCTAAGGCACTGCATCGCAGTGTTAGCTGTGCCACTAGAGATCCTGGTTCGCGACCGGGAGACCCATGGGGCGGCGCACAATTGGCCTAGCGTCGTCCAGGTTAGGAGAGGGTTTGGCCGGCAGGGATGTCCTTGTCCCATCGCGCTATAGCGACCCCTGTGGCGGGCCGGGCGCAGTGCACTCTGACTCGGTCGCCAGGTGTACGGTGTTTCCTCCGACACATTCGTGCGGCTGGCTTCCGGGTTAAGCGGGCTCTCGACCTTCGCCTCTCCCATGTCCGTCCAGGGGTTGCAGCGATGGGACGGGGACTGTAACTACTACCAATTGGATACCACGAAAAAGGGGGTAAAATACCCACACAAAAAAGAATGCTCTAGATGGTGCATGTGTAGAAGTTAGTGAGGGTCTTATGGGCCAAGCCAAATTTCTTCAGCCTCCTGAGGTTTCTACCCTGAGCAGTCACAGGCTGCATCTCAATAGTGTTAGTTGGTTTCCTCTCCTAGTCTCCTTTCCCCTTATCTGCACTGATATGAAAGAGCTGGAGAAGAGATTCTCTATAGTGGTGCACCTAGTGCTTTAACCTTTCTTTGTTTTCAGGATTAGTGCAGATGAAAATTGAGATAATTAGGAAAGGAAGCCATTTAGAGTTTTGGGATGTACCTATATTGACAAAACCACAGAATAAAAGAATCAGGGAGGTTAGCTTGCTTCTGTCACCCCTGCCTTGCTTTTAGAAGGTTTGACCTTGTTGTATTGAAGTGCTTCGTTACATTGGGGATGAGACAGCCCAGTACTTCAATTAAATTGAATCTACTTATCCTGCTCTTTGAATGTAACGTACCCAGCGTCCACTACAATCAACCTTGAATAAATGCAATACATTTGTGCTGTTCATAAATACATGCATGAATGGAGGGTAATATTGAATCATTTAAGAGGTACTGTATATACAGCTGTTATGATTGTGTAAAAAAAGCCTGTTTTTATCTCAATATCAAGTAATTTCTGGGTAACAATTAGATACCTTACTGTAATAGTTTTCCATTAAAATCGACAAAAGGAACAAAAATAGCATTTTAGCAAAAAACTTGTCTGGGAGTGGTCTGAGTGGGGAGGGGAAGGGCACCAAAGCGATGGAGGGGCCTAATGGGAGGGATATGTCATCTTAAAACTAGCTGTTATTGGCAGAGAGGTTTGGAACTCTTAGTTATTGGTCTATTGAGTGATATACCCTGGTGATGTCACCAGGCAAGCCAAATCTCCATTCATCCCAAACCTGCTGATTAGAAGGTCCTGTGTAGTTTGCATTTTCAACCAGCAACTATCAGGAAATAACACTGATCACATTTTTAACCCTTTTACAGTGTTAGTTTCATCAGCTGTATATGATATACAACATTTTGACTGCACTGGGCCTTTAAATAAAATAACATTAGATAAAGATTTTACAATGCTAAATGCAGTAATGAACCTGTCATTACTGATTGGTGCAGGGCTCAATATCTTTATATACAAAATATCTAAGTACTGAATAATTATACTTTTTTTCCTGAACGCTTCCCAGACAATGCATGCTGGGAAAGCACGGGAGACCTATGGATTTCACGAACCACTTCGAAAGCGCACAATTATGAGAGACGTCTGTCAGGGGAAAAACCAGTCCCCCGTCCAGTCTCCTCTCCATCCGCTTGAGTAAACACACAGGGTCTCCAACTCCCCACCATACAGGCTGCTCTCCGCCACACACACACACAGCTAGTCTTCCACAGTCACACACACACACAGGCTGCCTCATCTTCCCCTCCTGTCAGTTTGTGTCACATCAGCAGGTCCATTGGGAGAGCTGCCATTTATGATGACTGCCCGAGTTACCAGACCGACAGCCCCCACACCACCCCCAGTCTCTGGAAGCGCTCTAGTGTCTCCCACTAGCTCTACCCCTCCTCTCTCCTGTACCCTACCCATGTGCCTCCACCCCACTGGCCCTAGACCCCACCAGCCAACATATGGCGCTTCCAATGGCCCAGTTGGTTGGGGCACGGTGTTTGGTGCACAAATCGTAGGTTTGATTCCTGCATGAGCCACACATACTGAATAAATCGGTTGAAAGCATCTTCAGAACGACCATATTGAATGAGGCATGAGTTAGAAAGAACCAGTAAGAACCCAAGTTAGTTACCCTTAGGACTCGCAATGACTGTGGTCAAATTCTCAAAATGGCCTAGCTACATTCGTTGGCTTCTTCACGACCATAAAGATAAAAGACTAATTAGGGTTGTATCAGATTGCTTTCACCTATAAAGACCTTTCTGATCAAGTCAGAGGAGAGCTGGCATGCAGCCAAAATAGACATCTCTCAGCAAGGGTCTCATTCTTCCCTCCTGTACGGTGTGTGGATGGTGTGGCTGCTCTAGTGTTTAGCTAAATTATTATGCTTATTGCACAATTAAATATTTCTAAAATGTGATTATTAATTGAATTGTTAGTAGATATCTGTAGCAGACAGAAGCAAATGAACACATTTGGCAAAAATGTCCATATGCACTTAAAAAGCCTTTATTTTCCTATTCTGGGGGTAATAACTTCACCACCATGAATCAACCAACATCATTTAACACTCAAAATAGACATCTACATTTAACATCCAATTAAAATAACTCAACAAGAACTCCGGGTTTGGTTTCCTAGGCGAATATCATGATTCACTTTTATTAAAAGCATCATAACTACAGTTCATCATACATGATGTTCAAAAAAAAAAAAAAAAAAACACAAAAAAGAAGAAAACATTTACAACTTATGTCTGTAAACTTCAAGGCTAGTTAGAATTGAGGTAATGCATTTCAGCTTGGTGGCTAAAAGTAACAAAAAGCCCATTCAATAGTTATAATAAAAGGTACCTGATTATTTTACTCTTACACCAGTGCATCAACAGGAATAGTGTGAGACAAATTGATTGCAGTACTTTTTCATGTCATCGTTTATATGCGATTTAGTTTCTCTTTTTCACCGACACTTGTGGTTGTGTTTTAATGGGAGAGCGATGTTTTGAGACATTCAAAAGCTGCCTTAGGTTATTGCTGTCTCCTTCCGCGTTGTGGAAGAGAGGTCTCTCCCCTGTTCGGCTTTGTCAGTGTGTCAGACTAAAAACAGTCAGGAGAGTCAGGGCCATCAGTGTGTGAGACTGGAAAACAGTTTCTATAACGATGTGTGACTTGGAAGAGTCAGACAATATGGGTGTTAGTAGTAGTAGGCAGAAAACTGGTACTGGGAAGAGTTTGACTGAGAAGGGTAATGGGGTCGTTTCATAGACTGGGAGAGGAACGGTTGGAGGGTGTGGGTAAGACCGTCCGATTGAGACGGGGAAGAGTCAGAGATTGGATTGTTAATGTGTAAGACTACAGGAAGAAACAGTCAGGTGTGTGTAGACATGTGTATGAGAATCAAGTGTGTGTGAGATCATCAGTGTGAGAGACTGGGAACAGTCAGATTATTAGGCCATCTGATGTGAGGACTTCATCCTGCTCTTCAAGGCAGAACAGTACAACAGAAAAAAATAAAAATATTATCCTTTTCATCAGCAGCATATAGTCGCTTAATGCAGTTAAATTGTACGCCACTGGAGAGTTACGAGATGCTACTTACTGTCACAATATCAAGAGAGTAAAAAAGAAAAGAAAAAAAACAGAAAAGCAGCATAGCACTATTGGAACGATTCATTCCTATAATAATATTTCGGAGGAAATTTCCCATCTCATCTAGAATGCACTGTTCAGAGCACAAAGACCAAAAATAACACCCTTTTGACATCTGCAAACTCTAGTTCAGTTTGCTTTTTCCCTGACTACGCTATTAACGCTACAGTGAGAGCCTTTTAGTTACGTATACTCTCCCTGATTTCCATTCTTACCTGTAAAAGAAACAAAGACATAAAACAAAAAAGAAAAAACTAATTTGGATCAAGTTGGTGTGTAAACGTGTCATGAGAGCACTCGGGGTGGGAGGGGGGGGGGGGCAGTAGAGGATTGGGGGGAAATGTCAAAGGCCAGTTAGTTTCCGTCACTCTTCTCCTCAGGGGCATCCTCTCCTTCCTCCTCATCCTCGGCCGCTAGGTCTTCCGGCGAGTCGGCTTCCTCAGCCAATGCAGAGGCCTCGTCTTCTAGGGCTGACGACTCGGCCGTCTTCTCCAGACTCTCTGCTGAGTCGCTGTCTTCGGCTGTCTCTGGGTCTGCGGTAGCGGCGGCAGGGCGGTCCGGGGCAAGGCCAGCCTGGCTGGGCTCCTTCTCCTGGCCCTGAGCTCCAGAAGCAGCCCCCATGGCTCCAGCCATGGCGCTCTGCAGGTCGGCCAGGGTGGTGGGGGGGAAGCCAGGCATGGTGAGACCTCCCAGGCCAGGGGGCAGGAACATGTAGGGGGAAAAGAGCCCAGGGGCCATGGTGGATAGCAGGAAGGGGTTGAAGGCCAGGGAGTTGGCCGACATGCCGGAGGCGGCCATTGCGGCGGCGGCTGCGTTCAGAGCCGCGGCGTCCCCATTAGCCTTGCTCGACTCCGCCTCCACCCCAGTGTCCTTCTCCTTGTCCTCATCCCCCTCTTCTCCGCCCTCCCCTTCGTCTCTCTTCGACATCTCGTCTGAATCGCCCTCGTCGTTGGTGCCATTGGAGGCTGCAGCGGGCGTGGCTGCAGCCGAGGCAGCGGCCAGGTTGTTTCCGAACAGGCCTCCCAGGCCGAACATGTTTGGCAGGCCGCCCATACCAGCCATACCAGGCAGCATGAGAGGCAGCATGGCCGAGGCGTGTTTAGCGTCAGTCCCCCCCATGCCGGGGAAGCCCATGAGCTGCAGCTGAAGACTCTGGAAGCTCTGTAGGCCCTGCAGGCTGGTGATGTCCATGCCTCCAAACAGGCCGTTCATCAGCAAGGGGTTCAGGCCGCTGGAGGATGCAGCCTGGGCCTGAGCTGCCGCGGCAGCCACCGTCGCCTTGGCAATCTCTGATTTGGGGCGTCTCCCCCGACGACGGACGCCCTCCTCACGCACCACGGGCCCAGTCAGGAGACGGTCGAACATGGCCTCAGGGAGGAAGCCCTGTGGAATGGGGGAGGAGACCGTGGTTAGTTAGAAGTCACTCATGGCTGTCAATGACAATTTTGCGATTCGGCAACAATTTCTCCTCAAACATCCGTTTCCAACAGATAAGGTTAAAATCTAAAACAAGTGCTGATTGGAATCATTTGAGGGCTAAATGGGTGAATGACAAGAGACTCACCGATTGCTTGACAATGTCGGTCCAATCAGGAGCGATGGCAAACTCTGGGTTCTCCAGGAGCCATCTGGGCAGTTCCTTCATGGGAGGGGCCATGGCTCCACCCATCTGGAAAAAAGAGAGGAACAAAATGGTTTACAAGATAGCAATACCTTCAGTTTTGCTATGAAAGGCTAAATTAGGTGTTTGAAATAGTTGCCAAACGGTGACCAATGCATTTGTGACAAAGCTAATTTGATTTGTACTGAAATGAACCCATACCTTTCTGCCGTTTCTCCGGTTGACCACGGGAACCCGCTCTTCTCCAGTGAGAGTGTTGATGTCGATCTTGTTGGGGTTCCGGCAGCGGTGCCGCTTCTGCTTGGGTTTGGGGAACTGGGAGGAGAGAAGCAACTCCTCACTCTTCTACAGAGAGACAGACAAGGGAGAGTGGACAGGGGTTGGAATCACAACAGGGCAAGGCATGAAATTCTTGAATACTTCATTATATACTACAACCGTTATGAAATAGAATAGCTAAATGTTATATTTTGTAACCATATTTGAATCACTGAAAGGGTGGTGTAAGAGTTGATTTAGGAAAGGGAACAGGGGGTTGAAGGTAGGGGATATGCTCATATTCCACATTGATGGGATAGTTTTACTGGATAGGGACATCTGATAAACAACTATACTGTATTCCATTTTGTTTAAGTACATACTGGTGTGTATGCAGTAGGCATGTCCATGGTGTATGTGGGGTGCTGTCTGAGCCAGTCCCTCAGGTCCTTGTCAGAGGGGGTACCAGCTTCCCCGTCCTCCATAGCGCTGACAGAAGGGACGCGGGCGGAGGCGCTGGGACTGGGAATGTTGTGGCGGTGGGAACGCGGGGGCATCTGCACCCCCTCCACCGATGCTTTGGTCCCCTCGGAATCCTCCTATAGTTTGATTTGTATTACATTTTATCAAAGTCCAATCAAACTTTTATTTAAATGTAGGTTAGTCTAATTGAGATATCCCCTTATCCCAGGCAGACCCGTGCTCATTTGACATTTTATTAAACTTTAACTTCACATCAGACTTTTTCCCGTTGAACCTATGCCCATCAGGTGCTTTATAACTATTTATTAAAGGTCCAGTGCAGTCAGAAACATGATTTCCTGTGTTTTATATTTATATATACAGTGGGGCAAAAAAGTATTTAGTCAGCCACCAATTGTGCAAGTTCTCCCACTTAAAAAGATGAGAGAGGCCTGTAATTTTCATCATAGGTACACGTCAACTATGACAGACAAATTGAGAAAAAAAAATCCAGAAAATCCCATTGTAGGATTTTTAATGAATTTATTGCAAATTATGGTGGAAAATAAGTATTTGGTCACCTACAAACAAGCAAGATTTCTGGCTCTCACAGACCTGTAACTTCTTCTTTAAGAGGCTCCTCTGTCCTCCACTCGTTACCTGTATTAATGGCACCTGTTTGAACTTGTTATCAGTATAAAAGACACCTGTCCACTACCTCAAACAGTCACACTCCAAACTTCACAATGGCCAAGACCAAAGAGCTGTCAAAGGACACCAAAAACAAAATTGTAGACCTGCACCAGGCTGGGAAGACTGAATCTGCAACAGGTAAGCAGCTAGGTTTGAAGAAATCAACTGTGGGAGCAATTATTAGGAAATGGAAGACATACAAGACCACTGATAATCTCCCTCGATCTGGGGCTCCATGCAAGATCTCACCCCGTGGGGTCAAAATGATCACAAGAACGGTGAGCAAAAATCCCAGAACCACACGGGGGGACCTAGTGAATGACCTGCTGAGAGCTGGGACCAAAGTAACAAAGCCAACCATCAGTAACACACTACGCTGCCAGGGACTCAAATCCTGCAGTGCGAGACGTGTCCCCCTGCTTAAGCCAGTACATGTCCAGGCCCGTCTGAAGTGCATTTGGATGATCCAGAAGAGGATTGGGAGAATGTCATATGGTCAGATGAAACCAAAATATAACTTTTTGGTAAAAACTCAACTCGTCATGTTTGGAGGACAAAGAATGCTGAGTTGCATCCAAAGAACACCATACCTACTGTGAAGCATGGGGTTGGAAACATCATGCTTTGGGGCTGTTTTTCTGCAAAGGGACCAGGACGACTGATCCGTGTAAAGGAAAGAATGAATGGGGCCATGTATCGTGAGATTTTGAGTGAAACCCTCCTTCCATCAGCAAGGGCATTGAAGATGAAACGTGGCTGGGTCTTTCAGCATGACAATGATCCCAAACACACCGCCCGGGCAACGAAGGAGTGGCTTCGTAAGAAGCATTTCAAGGTCCTGGAGTGGCCTAGCCAGTCTCCAGATCTCAACCCCATAGAAAATATTTGGAGGGAGTTGAAAGTCTGTGTTGCCCAGCGACAGCCCCAAAACATCACTGCTCTAGAGGAGATCTGCATGGAGGAATGGGCCAAAATACCAGCAACAGTGTGTGAAAACCAGGATTTCCTGTGTTTTATATATATATATTTTTTTCCACATTATGGAGGTTAATACTGTGAAATTGTTGAAAATTATGATTATGCCTTTTGGTGTAAACAGCGTTTCCCAAACTCTGTCCTGGGGAACCCAAAGGGTGAACGTTTTGGTTTTTGCCCTAGAACTACACAGCTGATTCAAATAATCAAAGTTTGATGATTAGTTGAGTCAGCTGTGTAGTGGTGGGAAAAAAGTGCACCCAGGATAGAGTTTGGGAAACTCTGGCGTAAGAGCTGGTTGAGTGGAGCTGAAGGTTGGACTAAAAACAAACAAAAGATAACAATTTTTAAATATACTGTATCAGTAAAATGTAAACTCAGCAAAAAAAGAAACGTCCCCTTTTCAGGACCCTGTCTTTCAAAGATAATTTGTAAAAATCCAGATAATTTCACAGATTTACAAGATTCTCTGGTCTGATGAAACCAAGATTGAAACTCTTTGGCCTGAATGCCAAGCGTCACGTCTGGAGGAAACCTGGCACTATCCCTACAGTGAAGCATGGTGGTGGCAGCATCATGCTGTGGGTATGTTTTTCAGCTCAGGGACTAGGAGACTAGTCAGGATCGAGGGAAAGATTAACGGACAGAGAGATCCTTGATGAAAACCTCAGACTGGGGTGAAGATTCACCTTCCAACAGGACAACGACCCTAAGCACACAGCCAAGACAATGCAGGAGTGGCTTCGGGACAAGTCTCAGAATGTCCTTGAGTGGCCCAGTCAGAGCTCAGAATTGAACATCTCTGGAGATACCTGAAAATAGCTGTGCAGCGATTCACCCCATCCAATTTGACAGAGCTTGTAGCGTCATACCCAAGAAGACTCGAGGCTGTAATCACTGCCAAAGGTGCTTCAACAAAGTACTGAGTAAAGGGTCTGAATACTTATGTAAATGTGACATCAGGTTTTTTTTATTTGATAAATTAGCAAAAAAAATCTAAAAACCTGTTTTTGCTTTGTCATTATGGGGTATTGTATGTAGATTGATGAGGGGAAAAAACAATTGAATCCATTTTAGAATAAGGCCGTAACGTAACAAAATGTGGAAAAAGTCAAGGAGTTTGAATACTTTCCGAATGCACTGTATGTATGTATATATACATATAAATAAAATAAAAAGAGCTGTTTAAAAATACCCGTTTTGATGGGATGGAGTTTTGACCGGTAAATTAGTTAGTAGACCAATAAGGAAGAGTTCAAAACCTTATAACAGCCAATAACAGCTAGTTTTCCCCTTCCAACTCAGAAAATTCCCAGATAGTCCGAGCAAAATTCTTGCTTAAGAAATTGCTCTTTGCCAATAAGCTATTTTTGTTTCTTTTTGACCATTTTAATTGAACACAATCACAGTACGGTACTTAATTGTTACCCAGAAACCATATGATATCGAGATAAAAACAGCTGAATTGGACCTTTAATAAATTAACAAAATGTATTTCCGTAGTGACTGTTAGTGACCGTGTTCCGTACCGTGGCTCCTCTCTTGTTGTTGATGAACAGGAGCTCCAGCCCCTCCACATTTTTCCTGCGGCCTCGCCTCCTCCGGGTGGGCAGGTCAGCCTCGGCCAATGAGCCATTGGCCCTATGTCTGGAAGGCGTGGCCGCCTGCAGCAGCTCCATCTGAGCCTTGAGGGTAGCAGAAGGCACCATGCTGCTGCTGGAGTAGCCCGCCAGGGACGATGCCTGACTTGTGGTGGTGGTGCATGCCCTGGAGAAGAATAACATGTCCCAATGTTTAGCAATATGGAACGTTTTCTAAAGCTAACCAGCTTCGGTTAGCTTCACATTCCAGCTCAGGCTTCATCCGTACTACGATGGTGGATATTGCTAATCTGCCTGCCGCTAACTCTAGCAGGCTTGTAACTGCGTGTGCATGTCGCACGTGGCTAGTCGAATGCTGAACTCTTCATTGAGACAATTCTGAAACATCAATCCAGAGGCAAGTCAGTACTGCATTTACATTTGTGCCGAAACCAAAATGAAGGAAAAGTTATCTTGCAAAATCAGCAGGCTATGATGTCAAAGAAGCTTTTAGAAGTGCAGTCTTTATTTTATTACGTATCATTAATGCAGTCTTTGCATGAGCACCTTTTTCCCCCCACTCCTATCAATAAAATAATTTTACCAAAATAACACTTATTTGTCATATAAAAGTTACTGTCCCCGTGAAGTTTTAAATGCATTTGGTCATTACTAAATAACGTGATAAATTATTTTTACAATTTTAAAATACCTAAAACCAAAAACATTTGATTAATACAATATTTAGTCAGTCGTCTTCCTCAAATGAAGGGGATGATGGCGCAATCTTTGCGAGAGGGAGGGAATCTGATTTCATTGGTCCTCAACTCACAGCTCAGACACTTCATTCAGGAAAATGGAGTTAGGCATGAATTAGTATGCCCCGGAGCAGGTTAGTTCTGAAGGATTCATTGCCATAGGAATTTACCTTGATTGAAAGGTGAGGCACATTCATATGATTGCTTATCCCGAGTTCAACTCAAGAGTTGACCAAAGTTACCTCGCTAACTCCTCAAACCTGATTCGTAGGACACCCCTCTGACCCAAAAGTGTAATTAAAAAGTGATACGTAATTCTAAATTTAGAATTAATTCATAAAATTCTAAAGACCCTACCTTGGTGAGGTCCATGGCCTGGCTCTGGGACTCAGCTTGGTGAGACTCTCTGAGCTGGGCCACCATATCCATCAGGTTCCTTCGCTTGGCGGCGCGCTCCGCCTCAATCTCCACCTTCCTCCGCCTGCGACGACGCTGCTTTGGCAACGACATGCTCAGAGCATCCTCCTTTACAGAGAGAGAGGGAGGTAGGAAGGGAGGGAGAGGGAAATATAGGGTTGAGAATTATGTGATCACCAGAACAACGAAAATCAATGTGGAAAATTGGGACACTGGTTTGAAATTAAGTGATTTAAGTAAATTATGTAGTAATAAGGGAATATTCATTTTTCAGACCTCATCCTATATATCAGTATGAATACACTTAAATAACTTTATTTTCCCCCAAGACAAATCATCTGAGATGCATGCCATGTTAACCATTATACAAACTATTTTTTTACTACTTACATTAACCTGTGGCGAGAGAGTGAGGTCCTCGCTGCCGCTGAAGCTCGCCTGAGCAGCCGCCACCATCGACAGCTCGGCCAGGCCCCGCCTCTGCAGGGGGCTTTCGGACGCCGTGGGGCCAGGGTATCCAGGCAACAGGCCCGGGATGTCGAAGAACTGGCGGCGGTTGGCGGGCCACTTGCCCTTGATGACCGCCTCACAGATGTTGTCCATGCGATTGATCATCACGCGATCCTGGAAGGTCAAAATGGCGCACAGAGGAATGGGTTAATACAACTAGAGAAGTACTTTGATGATGGAGTGAGATCCGACTAGAAAACAGGGCTTTTTGCTCCAGTTTTTCTCAATTTTCTTTCTTTACGTAAACTGATTTCTGTGTTTTATATATACACTGCTCAAAAAAATAAAGGGAACACTAAAATAACACATCCTAAATCTGAATGAATGAAATAATCTTATTAAATACTTTTTTCTTTACATAGTTGAATGTGCTGACAACAAAATCACACAAAAATCATCAATGGAAATCAAATGTATCAACCCATGGAGGTCTGGATTTGGAGTCACCCTCAAAATGAAAGTGGAAAACCACACTACAGGCTGATCCAACTTTGATGTAATGTCCTTAAAACAAGCCAAAATGAGGCTCAGTAGTGTGTGTGGCCTCCACGTGCCTGTATGACCTCCCTACAACGCCTGGGCATGCTCCTGATGAGGTGGCGGATGGTCTCCTGAGGGATCTCCTCCCAGACCTGGACTAAAGCATGGTGCAACGTGGCGTTGGTGGATGGCTACCTCTGGCAAGCAGGCTACCTCTGGCAAGCACATGGAGGGCTGTGCGGCCCCCCAAAGAAATGCCACCCCACACCATGACTGACCCACCACCAAACCGGTCATGCTGGAGGATGTTGTAGGCAGCAGAACGTTCTCCACGGCGTCTCCAGACTCTGTCACGTGCTCAGTGTGAACCTGCTTTCATCTGTGAAGAGCACAGGGCGCCAGTGGCGAATTTGCCAATCTTGGTGTTCTCTGGCAAATGCCAAACGTCCTGCACGGTGTTGGGCTGTAAGCACAACCCCCACCTGTGGACGTCGGGCCCTCATACCACCCTCATGGAGTCTGTTTCTGACCGTTTGAGCATACTATTGCACATTTGTGGCCTGCTGGAGGTCATTTTGCAGGGCTCTGGCAGTGCTCCTCCTGCTCCTCCTTGCACAAAGGCGGAGGTAGCAGTCCTGCTGCTGGGTTGTTGCCCTCCTACGGCCTCCTCCACGTCTCCTGATGTACTGGCCTGTCTCCTGGTAGCGCCTCCATGCTCTGGACACTACGCTGACAGACACAGCAAACCTTCTTGCCACAGCTCGCATTGATGTGCCATCCTGGATGAGCTGCACTACCTGAGCCACTTGTGTGGGTTGTAGACTCCGTCTCATGCTACCACTAGAGTGACAGCACCGCCAGCATTCAAAAGTGACCAAAACATCAGTCAGGAAGCACAGGAACTGAGAAGTGGTCTGTGGTCACCACCTGCAAAACCAGTCCTTTATTGGGGGGTGTCTTGCTAATTGCCTATAATTTCCACCTGTTGTCTATTCCATTTGCACAACAGCATGTGAAATGTATTGTCAATCAGTGTTGCTTCCTAAGTGGACAGTTTGATTTCACAGAAGTGTGATTGACTTGAAGTTACATTGTGTTAAGTGTTCCCTTTATTTTTTTGAGCAGTATATATATATATATATATATATAAATAAAATACTGAACTTAACACTGTTCAAGTACCTTTTGTATATAGTGTGCCTCTAGGGTCCAATGTAAATATAAAAACGCAACATGCAACAATTTCAACGATTTTACTGAGATACAGTTCATAAAAGTACATTGAAATAATTTAATTAGGCCCTAATCTATGGATTTCACATGACTGGGAATACAGATATGCATCTGTCTGTCACAGATACCTTAAAAGGTAGGGGCGTGGATCAGAAAACCAGTCAATATCTGGTTGAATATTTTACTGGTATTTCACAAATGTTCCATCTCATGAATAAAATCACTTTTCTCCCAGGTAACCCGGTATTTCCCGCCAATACCAGAAGGCTACTGCACATTACGCACGACAGAAAAACATAAAAGCCCATAGATGTAGCTAGCTATATGCTCTCTTGGGTAAATAAATGAGACTAGCTCCAGTAGGCTAATCGTGTGAACTGTATTACTGTATTGTATTATACTGTATAATATGGACTTGAATTACGCACATTGTTCAAACCATGATAAAGCAGAAGAGAACATGAGATTCTGATGCAGCACATGCCTACAAAGTTACAAGTATAGGCTAGCGAATTTGATTTACATATAATAGGACCTATTTGTATAATTAGTAGGCTGACGCATATATACCTTTCATAATATTTCCCCTAATGTTATTAGCCTACCTCCTCTTTCTCTCTCTAGTGTTACTTCATTCCTTCCCCGCTTTCAACAGTTCTAAGAAATACGTTTTGTTGTCCTTATCTTTAATCACTCTAATGTCATCCTTGAATAATATTGGACTAGATGCAGAACGCTTTGAATTCTCTTCATGAAGATTGAACGTTATGGGTCTGAATAAATAACTGCTATAGCCTACCGCCATCGCGCATTCGCTCTTCTTTCAAACTACCCGTGAGTTCTATTGGCCGCTGTATTTAACATTCAGCAAAAAAGAGCTTGCGTTCCTCTTCGAATAGTCTATTGGTATAAGAAATGCTAAAAAAAAATAATGTCAAGCAAGCTATTCTAGTTCAGCTTTTCCTGTTGCGCAAGAGACTGAGGCTATAAATTAGAAGCTTATTACGCATAACCATAATTAATTACCTAAATATACGGCTAATACTACATTGAATTTATTACCTGAATTCTTATAATAGTTAATTTTTTACTTTTGTTTATTTAGTAAATATTGAATTAACTCTTTACTTAAAACTGCATTGTTGGTTAAGGGCTTGTAAGTAAGCTTTTCACTGTTATATTCAGGGCATGTGACAAATACAATTTGATTTGAAAGAGGTAGGCTAGGACATCTAGATTGATATATAGCCCTATATATAGAACAGGATTTTCTATTTGGAGTTGATGGAGAGAGAGAGAGAGACTGCAGTAGTACTCGTGTGTGCACTGATTTAAATCAATGATATTCGAGTGATAGGCTTTTTTAAAACTCTGCAGCTGCAATTAAAAAAATTATAATCTTTCCAATTAAAAAAACAAGGTGACCCCGAAAACCAGATGGAGACGGGTAAATTAGATGCGCATTACTGTAGCATAGACTGGCAACAGCTCTGGTGGACATTCCTGCAGTCAGCATGCCAATTGCACGCTCCCTCAAAACATGAGACATCTGTGTCATTGTGTTGTGTGACAAAACTGCACATTTTAGAGTGGCCTTTTATTGTCCCCAGCACAAGGTGCACCTGTGTAATGATCATGCTGTTTAAAATCAGCTTCTTGATATGGATGGATTATCTTGCCAAATGAGAAATGATCACTAACAGGGATGTAAATCAATTTGTGCACAACATTTAAGATAAGCTTTTTGTGTGTATGGAACATTTCTGGGATCTTTTATTTCAGCTCATGAAATATGGGACCAACACTTTACATGTTGCGTTTATATTTTTTTTCAGTATATATTTCACCACTACATGAATGAATATGAGTATGTATACTGTGGGGAGAACAAGTATTTGATACACTGACAATTTTGCAGGTTTTCCTACTTACAAAGCATGTAGAGGTCTGTAATTTTTATCATAGGTACACTTCAACTGTGAGAGACAGAATGTAAAACAAAAATCCAGAAAATCACATTGTATGATTTTTAAGTAATTAATTTGCGTTTTATTGCATGACATAAGTATTTGATCACCTACCAACCAGTAAGAATTCCGGCTCTCACAGACCTGTTAGTTTTTCTTTAAGAAGCCCTCCTGTTCTCCACTCATTACCTGTAATTAACTGCACCTGTTTGAACTCGTTACCTGTATAAAAACACCTGTCCACACACTCAATCAAACAGACTCCAACCTCTCCACAATGGCCAAGACCAGAGAGCTGTGTAAGGACGTCAGGGATAAAATTGTAGACCTGCACAAGGCTGGGATGGGCTACAGGACAATAGGCAAGCAGCTTGGTGAGAAGGCAACAACTGTTGGCGCAATTATTAGAAAATGGAAGAAGTACAAGATGACTGTCAATCACCCTCGGTCTGGGGCTCCATGCAAGATCTCACCTCGTGGGGCATCAATGATCATGAGGAAGGTGAGGGATCAGCCCAGAACTACACGGCAGGACCTGGTCAATGACCTGAAGAGAGCTAGGACCACAGTCTCAAAGAAAACCATTAGTAACACACTACGCCGTCATGGATTAAAATCCTGCAGCACACGCAAGGTCCCCCTGCTCAAGCCAGCGCATGCCCAGGCCCGTCTGAAGTTTGCCAATGACCATCTGGATGATCCAGAGGAGGAATGGGAGAAGGTCATGTGGTCTGATGAGACAAAAATAGAGCTTTTTGGTCTAAACTCCACTCGCCGTGTTTGGAGGAAGAAGAAGGATGAGTACAACCCCAAGAACACCATCCCAACCATGAAGCATGGAGGTGGAAACATCATTCTTTGGGGATGCTTTTCTGCAAAGGGGACAGGACGACTGCACCGTATTGAGGGGAGGATGGATGGGGCCATGTATCGCGAGATCTTGGCCAACAACCTCCTTCCCTCAGTAAGAGCGTTGAAGATGGGTCGTGGCTGGGTCTTCCAGCATGACAACAACCCGAAACACACAGCCAGGGAAACTAAGGAGTGGCTCCGTAAGAAGCATCTCAAGGTCCTGGAGTGGCCTAGCCAGTCTCCAGACCTGAACCCAATAGGAAATCTTTGGAGGGAGCTGAAAGTCCGTATTGCCCAGCGACAGTCCCGAAACCTGATGGATCTGGAGAAGGTCTGTATGGAGGAGTGGGCCAAAATCCCTGCTGCAGTGTGTGCAAACCTGGTCAAGACCTACAGGAAACTTATGATCTCTGTAATTGCAAACAAAGGTTTCTGTACCAAATATTAAGTTCTGCTTTTCTGATGTATCAAATACTTATGTCATGCAATAAAATGCAAATTAATTACTTAAAAATCATACAATGTGATTTTCTGGATTTTTGTTTTAGATTACGTCTCTCACAGTTGAAGTGTACATATGATAAAAATTACAGACCTCTACATGCTTTGTAAGTAGGAAAACCTGCAAAATCGGCAGCGTATCAAATACTTGTTCTCCCCACTGTATGTGAATGAATGTACATCTTTCTTCTACAAACCTTTGGCCAGAAGGAGAAGGAGAAGGTTCTCTGGATGGCTGAGGGTTCTCCATCCTCGGGGCAGAACCCATCGCGGGTCTCGTCTCTGGCCGTGGTGCTCAGTGAGGCATTGCTCTCCTCGTCAAAGTTCTTCTGCTCGGAGGTGGCACCCGCTGAAAAATGACAACAGCGCTTTGTCAATAGCAGCCACAAGAGAATCTACAAATGGCTTCATGTAGTGCTTTCTCAAAATTAGCAACAGCAGAATACTAGAAGGGTCATACAGTGAGTCTTCAATTCAACCCTAAGCAGCAAGCTTAAATAGACTATACACAGACATATAGTCGTTTCTAAATGCCAGCTAAAGCAGACCAACTACACACAGCCACTTACTGTGTTGTGGCTGGCTTCAACATAAAGGAGTAGTCATGAGTCATGCACTTGCATGGCCCAACTGTCTATTGTAGACTTCTACACAGACTCACTGTTGATGGTTTGCATGAATTCACACCCTAAAATTAAAATGTTCCTTGTGAAAATGTATTTCAGCAAAGGAGTTGAGAGTAGGATATACCGTCAGCTTGAGAGGACTTCTCAGACTTGTCATCTTCCTCCATCTTCTCCTCATCCTCCTCTTCGGGCCCTTTCTCAGCCACTGGTTTGGGAGATTTGGGAGACTTGGCTGGGCTCCCTTCTTTCTGCTTTCCCGCCATCTCTTCCTTCTTGGTTTCCTGGTCTTCCGATGCTTTGGAAGACTCCGGTTTCTCCTGGAATTCCGGCTTCTTGTCCTGGTCCCTGATGTCCTCATTGGGAGTGTCTTCTTTCTCTGGTTCGGCGTCCTTGGAAGTCTCTCCGTCAGCATCGCCGTTGACCTCCATTTTCTCCTCTTTCGGTTCTTTGTCTTCCTCGTCTTTTAGGTCCTCTCCCTTCTCTTCCTCCTCCTTCTCGTCCTTCAACTCCTTCTTGGGAGACGCAGCCTTCACTTCCTTCTCCGTCTCCTCTCCCTCCATCTCTTCGTCCTTGTCTGGTTTCTCGGTTTTAGTACACGGAAGGTCGTTGTCAACCTTCCTCTTTCACCTCCTTCCCTTCTACCTCCTCTTGCTCCTCTTTGACATGGGAGGGTTTCTCAGCAGCAGCAGCAGCTGTGGCCTGTTCAGAGGCAGTAGAGGGAGCTACATCGCGGGGCGGCTGAGGCACCCCAGCCGATCCCCCCTTGGTAAACTTCCTGTGGGCCTCAAGGAAGCCCAAGGCTGGGTCGTTGAGGATGTGGTAGTCAGTGCGGCTCACGCCGTGCTTGGAGGCGCCCAGGAGGAGGTCGCGGTCATGCCTGCTGCAGTCCCACCACTCCGGCAGGTCAGAGCTGGGCTGGCAGAGGCGCAGGCGCTCGCCCAGCAGGGGGTGGGGCAGCACCTGCTCGCGGATGCGGCGCAGCAGCTCGATGCGGTAAAGGGTGCGTGAGGCGCGCTCCTCCGTGATGGGGTCGATGATCAGGGTGGGGTCTGGAAGCTCTGCCAGACAGAGAGAGGGGGAGGGAGCGAGGAAGAGGGGTGGGGGTAGGTAGGGAGGAAGGAAGGAAGGAAGAGATGAGTGAAGGGAAGAAAGCAGGGGGGAAAAAACAGGGGGGTGAGGAGGGAAGAAAAGAGTTGTTGTTAATCTAGTCAGTCTGTCCAGGGAATGATCCTTTGCTTTAGCTTAAGTAAATGTAGGTATGGCTGAAGTTGTGATCAATAGCGTTCTGTTATTAAATATGTGAGGGCCTTTACCTGTGTCGGTCTTGACCTGCATGCGACACACCCGTTTGCACATGGCCACGAAGGAGAAGTAATATTTCTCCAGGCTCTCGTCAGTCTTCTTGTCCAGCCGGGCGAAGGCCCTGAACTGGGTCCAGTCAAAGCGCTGGCGGGCCGTGTCATAGATAACGCCAAACGTGGACACCACACGGTAAAAATCAGCTTCCTCACGCCTGGTCCACCTGACGACGAGACAGAAGGGTTAATCCAACAACCAATGGGACGGAAAGCAATGTATGAGTAGTGTATTGATAAGGAGACTGGAGCATTATGGGTACTGTAGTACATACATCATGTTACAAGTAGGGCTTCTCAAACAAGCACCAAACAATCATACAGGAAGTTGAAAGAACTACAAGAAGCTCGACTGTACCGCCTTCTATACAGCCGGCTAACAAATTGGACTGTTTATTATATACAAGTGATCATATAAACTGTTCATATTGTTTATCGTGTATAACATATCCTAAGTAATCTAGATGGAAGTGTGCCTAGAAAACATCTAATAAACTCAACCAATCAAATCAAACTATTCAATGTTTCGATACCTCTGACGCCTCTCTTTGAAGAAGGCCCCTCCTTCCGCCAGGAGAGCCGTCGCCTCGGGAATGAACGCTTTGCCCGTGGCCATATAAGGACTCCCCTCTGCCATGAAGGCTCCGCCCTCCTGCACGTAGGCCCCTCGTCCATCTGTGACCATGGAGAGGAGCTGTTCTCGGGGCCGCCGGCGGCGGCGTCCGTCGGGCCGGGCCATGGCCTCCTGGCGAAGCTGCTCTCGTTTGTGCGTGCGCTGGTAGGCAGTGATGAGGCGGCGGAGTCTAGCGGTGAGGGCTGAGGCTGCCGGCCAGTACAGACGACCAGCCCCTCTGCTGCCTGCTCCATTTTCACCTAGTTTAGCTGTGAGGGGGAGGAGAAAAGGGTGGAATATTAGGACTAGGACAAATAAATGTGTCTGCATACTGTTGACATGGTTCTGAAAAGCAACTCTGGTTTCTTTTGGCGCGTACATTGGTGGTTTGATATAACAATACAAATTTGTAACTATGGATTGATGGATGGTGAATCCTCTTCAGACTGATATCAGATTGCTAGTAAATAATACATTGTCTACCTTTTTATTGAATTTATCCCAAAATGGTGGTCAATATAGCTCTGAGAGCAGAGATGGCCACTCCACTTACATTCACCACTCTCAACGTCCATAGCTTCCTCTTTGTCATCAAGGGGAGAGTTAGTGAAGTCATCCATCTCATCTTTAAAGGGCATACGGAGAGGCTTGTACTCTGGGTCCTCATCCTCTCTGTACACACAAATAACCAGGGATGGAGGGAGGAGAGAGAGAAAAGAAAGGTGAGTTTTAAACTTAAAAACAACAGAATCAAACAAAGGAGCGAGGGAAGAAAAGAGGGAGACAGCCAGGAAGAGAAAGGAAGAGAAGATTGAGGGAAATTGGAGGTCAGGAATAAATACACACAAAACAAAAAAGAGGTGGAGGGAGGGAGGGAAAGGAAGATCGAATGGAGAGAGGGAGACCGAGACAGGAGGTCAAAAAACAACCAAAACAGAGGGAGAGACAGGAAGAGAAGATGAGAGATGGAGGGAGACGGGGACAGGAGGTTGAGAAGAAAAAGAGGAGGAAGAGGGGAAAAAGAGGTGGTGAATTTTGGCTGAGTGTCTTACCCCTCCGGACCATCTGCCATCATGTCCGCCCCCCTCTGCTCTGCAGCGATGGCCTTGGCGTCAGGCATGCCCACCCGCTCCAAGAAACACAGCGCAGGGTCGGCGCGCACCGAGTTATACTTTTCATAGCCTGGGATGGAGAGATATATGGAGAGAGAGAGAGTGATTGAGAAAGAGAAAGAAGAGGAGAGTGGGTGAGACAGTGGTAGTGTTACAGAGTTCTACTTTTCACATCTGGTGAAGAGGATAAGGAGAGAGGGAGTGGGTGAGAGATGATTGAATTATGACTGGGAAACCACACACACACAGGAACTAGGCCTAGAACTAGGCTGAGTTTGACTTTGACAATTTACAGTGAAAATATGTAGGCTACATACACCTAGGGATCAATGAAAGACGCAACAAAATACAAAAGCCAAATGGAGTTCAAACTAAACCATCATGAAGTTCAGAATCAGAACCACATCGTAAAAACCAACTGCCGTCCGTATAAATAGAAGAGAAAGAAAAACAGAAGGCTAGACCCCAGGGTCCAGATGCAGACAGAGGGCAGTGCCTGTTGGAGCGTGTGTCTGACTGGGTGTGTCTGTGTGTAAGAAAATATGTGTGTATGTGCCTAAGTCTGTATGTGTGTATTTGCCCAAGAGAGAGAGTGTGTGTGTGTAGCAGAGAGAAAAGTGCCCGTTGGAGCTTTCCAAGCAGAACAGATTAGAGCCTGCAGATCCCACTGAGCACGGCGGGTGGGAGGAGGGGGAGAGAGAGGGGGGAGACAGAGGCACAGGCTGGAGCCCCCTCAACCATGCCAGTGAGCGGACCAGACTATCCCCAACCCCCTCCTCCACTCCTCTCGGTCCGTCCCCCCCTCCCCAAAGCCCCCACCAGAACATCACATTTCAATTAGGATTTATGCGGTGACACATTGTTCCTAACCGCTGCTGCGCCCCGAGCCAAGCGCTAATCATGAGGGGGTTTCTAGGCCATCACTCTTCCCTCTCACAGCCCTGGAGAGTTGTGTGTGTGTGTACAGTGTGTGTGAGTGAGTTCGGCAGTGTCTGTACGGCGTGTACGGTGTGTGTACCAGACACGTGAGGGTTCGGTGTTTGTGTGTGTGTGTGTGCATGCGGGTATGTGTGTGTGTGTGTGTGTGTGTGTGAGGCAGAGAGCAGCTTCCTCCCCCGGCCTCCCAAGTGAATGAGGATTATGATTAACTATATGCTAGCTCTATTATACCCTGTGTGTGTGTGTGTGTGTGTGTGTGTGTGTGTGTGTGTGTGTGTGTGTGTGTGTGTGTGTGTACGCGTCAGGGCTGAGACACAGCTCGGATCCATAATTGAATCAGAGAGGGTGGCAATTACGGAGAATAATGACAATTATCCCAAATTAATATTAATGTTTATCAATACAATTGACACTTAAATCGTTACAATTCTGGCTTGTAATCTTGTTTCGCACTGTAATACAATTAAAATGCTTAAATCTAAACCAGCTAGCCCATAGCTAGAAGAGAAAAAACCTTGATAAGTGCATCAACCAATTGTGGTTGATAGAACGCTGGATAACCAGGGACTAGATGGAAGCTGCAACAGGTCTGTGCGCACGCACACACACACCTCCACGGCCTCTCTTCTCGGGCTGCTGGACACAGCCATCAATCAATCTCCTGACGTCTCACTGAGCCAGCTGTGCGCCGCGGTCGCTATGGGAACACCAATCAAGCCGAAGCAGCCGGTGTGCATTTGTGTGTGAACCGGAGGGGTGGGGCTTACCGTGTTTGAAGACGCCGATGAGCAGCGATTTGTCCGACTCGCTGTCCCACCAATCGGCAGGGACCTCGGCGTGGAAAGGCTGAGGGATCCAGATATCCATTTCACTGTCGGCCCAGACCAAGGAGAGAGGGAGAGAGAAAGTCAGAGCAAGAGAGAAGGAAAGAGTAAGAAAGAGAGGCGGAGGGGAAAACTGATTAAAAGGGTCTAAATCGGTGCGTGTCCATAATAGGCCCCATCTCCAGGCATCTGGGAGGAAATATGGTCATTAGCCACCATGCTGGAACATCTCGACAGCGGGCCAAATGGCACCCTATTTTCCTACATGGTGCACTACTTTTGACAAGAGCCAAAAGTAGTGCACTATATAGGAAATAGGGTGCCGTTTGGGAAGTAGCCCTCATCAGGAAGGAGAACTAGGCAGAACAGGCCTAACCTTATCACCACTACACCAAGCCTGCCCTGATGCCTGCAATGCTATCACCACTAGCAGACTGCCTGGCCTAATCCAATACAGACACACAGGCAGGCTGCACTTACACACAGGCACACACTTACTGGCACATATATGCGCGCACACACAATAATGGCATTGTAACTATTCAGCGAAGAGCCTCAGACGCAATCAACATGGTGTGCACGTTTCTGCATTATATATGCATGCACATCTGGGTGAGGGGTGAAACGAGGGGAGGGAGAGGGGGACGGGAGAGGGAAGAGGTAGTGTGAAGATAAAGCAGGCAGGGGCTTGGGAGTGTTGGAGGGAGAGATAAAGGGATGGAGGGAGGAGATGCCAACCTTGAGTCAGTTCCCTCTAGGATCCGGTCGGCTTGGTCACCGACGACTTCCTGTCGCAGATAGTAGAGCATTCGGACCCTCAGGAGAACTCTGTGTGGAGGGGAGGACAGAGAGAGGCAGAAATAGGAAAGAAAATTGAACAGAGGGGGAGGGTAAAAAAATGAAAGAAAGAGTGTTTGCAACTCGGGTCCCGTGCCCCAGCAGCAGTAGCTGGCTAGAGTGGCTAGCTGCGGCAGTGGATCTTTGGCACTGGCCGTTGCCCATCCATCACGCTGCCAGGCCTGATTAGCCACGCCGCGCGCCAGCCCCTGCGCCTGACAGATGGCACCACATAATCGCCCCTGTGTGTGCCGCCTTTCACCCGCTTCCAACAGGTCTGCCTGGCACCTGGCCTGGCGCGGCGCCAGCCTCAGCCCACAAAACCCGGCCGCCACAAAATCTCCCCGACAACAACAGAGTAGAAAGAAGAGTTGTGGCCAAGGAAGGAGGAGGAGGGAAAGTAAATAGGACACTGGCTAGAACTAAACAAAAGGAGTGAAGTGTGTGTGTGTGTGTGTGTGTGTGTGTGTGTGTGTGTGTGGCTAGCTGGAGCAATGGAACTCATGTGAGATAGGATTACTGGGAACTGCATTGTGTGTTTGATTTTATTGAATTATAAAGAAACCAACTATCAACAGAGTTGGCCTGCTTATCTGTGGACACTATGGTGGTGTGTGAGTAGGGGTTGTGTTTGAGTTAAGGGTTAAAGGTCAGAGGTTAGGGTTGACCAGTGTTGTGTTCGAGACCACCTAAGCGAGACCGATTCAAGACCAAGACCGGAGGGGGACGAGGGGTGCGAGACAGAGTCAAGACCAAGACCGGAGGGGGACGAGGGGTGCGAGACAGAGTCAAGACCAAGACCGGAGGGGGACGAGGGGTGCGAGACAGAGTCAAGACCAAGACCGGAGGGGGACGAGACAGAGTCAAGACCAAGACCGGAGGGGGACGAGGGGTGCGAGACAGAGTCAAGACCAAGACCGGAGGGGGACGAGGGGTGCGAGACAGAGTCAAGACCAAGACCGGAGGGGGACGAGACAGAGTCAAGACCAAGACCGGAGGGTACGAGGGGTGCGAGACAGAGTCAAGACCAAGACCGGAGGGGGACGAGGGGTGCGAGACAGAGTCAAGACCAGAAAAATGTGAGTCCAATTCAGGTCAACGATTGTAAAATTGTTCAAAATGTCAAGTATTTCTGTGTTCATATTTCAGAAGAACATATGGATTCTTTAGACATTCAGAATGGTGAAAAAAATGCATGCCGAGGGCAAATAGAGCCACTCTACAAGTTGTTACTAACCCAAACACAGTGGGGAACAATGAGGGCCTTCTACAACGTCAGAGAAGGGCTAAGGATTTATAAAATAATAATAATATTATTTTCACTGATGTTCTGATTGAATCTCTTCAGTTTTTGTTGGAAAGGAAAGGGTTAACACCGAAGAGGAAAAAAAGATCCAATCAGGATTTTTCTTTGGTGGTCTTTGGGGAGATAAATCTAGCTAGCTAAATTGTATTAGGGAAGCATTTTGGAGTGACAGTGGACATTCAACCAATCACATTTTGACTTTTAATGGGTTGGACTGTTTTAAACAAAAACGTATGGAAACTTCTTCCTTCAAAGGCCAACAGGTCACTGCACAATAGCGAGCAGTAGGTTTTCCCACAGTCTAGCTAGCTAGCTAGCTTTTGTTGTAGGCTAGTTTGCAGCGGCTGCAGCAGGTGTTATCGAAGAGGATGTTGTTGCTAATTTGTTGGTGAGTGGAACTGTGTTTTTTTATTGCAGTTCTCTTGCTGTTAGCTAAATCTTAGAAAATAACTGTTGCATTTAAACTTTAGATCACTGGTTACTTGGTGTGCTGAATGTGAAAAATATGTTTGCAATGGAAAGTAATAGTTGTACATTTCGATTGGGAAATACTTAGCCTAATGGTTGTGTTTTTGTATTCTTATGATTGGGACCTACTGGCTTATTATGTCTGAGAGAATGGGCTGCTTATCCTTTAACATCATGCTGTGTGTGACTGCTGTCTTTCCATCGACCCTATGTGTTTTACAAAAAGTGCGCTCTCCTACATATTACGGCACTGTCCTTCCAGCATCACGAGCTTGTCTCACACATCCTTTGACGTGTCACTGTTCTTGCTTTTGGTGATGGTGTGATCGTGATGGCGTTAGGCTACCATAGGTTGCGCAAGCAGTGTGGTTGTGGTTGTTGGTAGCATTGTCCGTGTGGGTGCTATCTCTATGTGAGTGGCAGCCCGGAGCTCGGCTCTGCCCTGTTTTATTCAGTTGGGCGCATTAAGTGACGCTATGTTTGTTATTTTTCTAGATTTTTGAGTTTGGTACAACATGTTGGAAGACCCCCCCCCCAAGGCCTAGGTCCAATAACCACGGTTCGCCACTGCGCAAACATGTATATAATAAATATAAAGACTGTTACAATTCCCCCCGGTCTCCCCTTACCAATAGTGAGCGCGCAACTTTCAAACAATTCCCCCCCACTCTTCCCTAGCAGCGAATCAAGGAAATTCTGATGAGCAAAACAAAGTTTGAGGATATTTTTCAACGAAAGTAATGAACAGTAATGTTACGAGTCAAGTAGGAGGCCCAGGTTTCAATAGGTGATAAGATATTGTTTCATGAATGGAGTGTATATATTTGGCCTGGCAAAGCAGTTTTATGCGCTGACTGAATGGAAGCTGCTAATTACTGTGAGTTTCTTACTCCACTGGTCTCGGGAAGAAATTACGAGTCCTCACTGTCCGAGACCGAGTCAAGACAGAGTTAAAATGTATCCGACAAAACCGAGACACTAAAAACAGGTGGTCTCGAGACGACTCGAGGAACACGGAGCTTGACAAACTCATTGTATTTGGGTTTGAAGAACGACAGTGTTGAGGTAGGTTGACCATGGGGCGCGCCACAATGCCCAGCGTGCAGGGTAGGGGGGGAATGGCGCAGGGGATGTAGCTGTTGTAGAGCATGCGTTGGTGTGGGTCGATAAAAAAAAATGTAGACGACTGTAAGTCGTTAAGAGCGTTGCTAAGGAGTGTAGGTTCAGGATTTGGGGTGACTTACTTGTTACAGTGGTGTTTGAGGTGTCTCTTGTAGCTGTCCTCCTGCAGTAACAGGTCAGGGTTACAGCTGGCCAGCCACTCTGCCCTAGGGAGCTGGGGAGGGGCAGGCGGGGCTGGTTTCCCCTTCTTCCCCTTACGACCCCGTGGTACTGGAGTAGACAGACCTGCAGGAGACATTACAATTTAGAGTCATAGGTTCATTATTTCTCATTGAGATCCCTTTATAAGAGAGACCTGGTTTGGACAAGTCTAGCACCAGCAAGGATTTGATTCATTATTACAATTATTTATTTGAAATCTGCAAACTATAATTGATAACATTAAAAACATTGAAATAGCAAGGAATTGGGCCAACTCCATGGTTCTTGTAGCCAATCAGACTCCACAGTTTGCTTAGGTGTGAAACCAATGAGGATCAAGGTCAAATAAGTAATGTAAAGTCAGACAACCAGTTTGAGCCGGTTCTAGTCCAGGGCAAAAGCAGACAGAGCATAAGGTTAAAGCAAGGTCAGGAGTTTGTTGTGGGGGGTTGAGTGAGCGAGTGAGGGATGTTAGTGGTAGGACTGTGAAAATCCTATGGAATTCAATGTATGTTTATTCACTCTACACCTACTGGGGGCTATTGGGGAGGCCTAAAAGAGCAGTTGGTGAGGTTGTTACTGTGAGATTAAGTGGAAAGGTGGGTGTGGTGTGTTGGTTATGTTTTGGTTAAGCTATGGTAATGATGCAGGAAGAGTGCGTAGGGATACGTACCGGAGTGGTTGGTGAGCGTGCGGCTCTGTCCATCCTCGGTGGGCGTGATGAGGTCCCAGATGAAGCTCTTGATGTTCTCGTCGCCACGGTAGTGCAGCAGGCAGTAGGCCAGCAGGGCACGGCAGATGGTCTCCACGTCTTGCTCCCGCAGGGGCCGCTTGAAACGCCCGTGGGACAGGATGTCTCCCCAGCGACCCCACCTAGAAGGGAGGGAACAGAGGAGAGAGAGAGAGAGAGGGGGGGGGATGAAGAGACAGTCACAGAGAGGAGGAAAGAAAAAGGGCGGGGAGAGAGAGGGATAGAAAGAAGTGATAACGGAGAGGGGGGAAAAGGGAAAACAAGATGAAGGGAAACGATAAGAAAAGAGGAATGAGGAAAAGAAGAGTCAAGGAAAGAAACGAGGAGAAGAGAAAGAGAGGGGGAGGAGAAGTATTTAGTTAAGTGTCTCAAGTATGATCATTTATCCTGAGGATTCACATTTACAGTCTGGAGCTGGAAGGTTTTATATTTCCATGTTCCTCCCCACCCAAACTACTACAGTAACTGAAGAGATGAGGGGGAGGGGTGGGTATGAATGGGGCGATGTTGTTATGTCTGGCTCTCTGCCTTTCAACCATGGTCCAATGTCACACCGCGATCTGATTCTGTGACCCCGTTCGTTCATGACCGCACACGCAACCGACAGCACATCTCACTACCGTGGGTGACCCAGAGTAGATTTCTATTTGTGAAAACCGAGCGAAGACTCTTGTCTCTCCCTAAACGTTTCTATGCGGCGGTGAGATAACCCTAGTTGGCATGCCGCCCACTGACACCCAGACGCTAGGAGTGTGTTTGTGGGTCGAGGGAGGCTGGTCTATGGAGGGAGATACAGCGAGGGAGGGAGTCAATGGCAGCAGCGTCAGTTGAAAGGAGTCCTCTCAGACATGATGGCTCTAATTTGCCCTACAGCCCCGGGGTCTAGACAGTACAATTGAGTCGGTCGCATTTGAAAAACAAACCCCACTGCTGGTCAGAGGTGGTGGGTGCATGCAGCCAGCAGTGATCTCTCGCTGAAGAGGGCAGCCAGGCACGGTGACTAATGAGTGTGTGTTTATATGTAAGTGCTGGGACATTGTGTGTGATGTATGTGCTGGTTGGTTGGTTCACTGTGTGGTTGTGTGTTGGGTCATTATAGGAGTGCAAGCAAGATCGATCTCGGCTCGTGTGTTTGCAAGTATACAGGCACGTTTAATGGCCCCTTGTGCCTCAGATTGCTGTGCGTTAAATTACTCTACATGTGCAAGCATTAGTGTTCTGTGGCCGTCATTTCCCCCCCCAGACCACCGCAGCATGACCAGACCAGTCGCCTGTGACTCGTGTTTAGCCAAGCACGCATCCTCAACCTCATCAGCCTACAATGGAGGGGAAGGAAAGATGAGATGGTGCCCTGGAAGCCATGAAACCAGACAGGATATGACATCTCTCAGCAATCAGATGGACTTCCTGACCGAGAAGATGTAGATGTGAAAGGATTGGATGAGTGATAAGCAAGGGATATTGTAATATCCCTCTGGTATGTTTGGGGCAGTTCGACGTATTTCTTACATCCACCTGATTCACCAAACGGTCTGAAGTGTCTAGCGGTGGATATTGGAATGGTTTCCATACCAAATTGACCACTATGGTGACAATCTTTTACTGAATTGCTAAAAAAAACTATTATATTATTTCAAATCTATTAGGGTTAGACTTCCAAAGGGGCTTGGGTTTGGAGAACGGTTAACCCTTCGCTAACACGTTTCTAAGTCGTTCAGATGTCCACTCACCCATAAACCAGCAGGTTCTTCTCCACCCTGAAGCACTCGCTGCGGGGGTACCCTTGGGCTCGGTCTTGTGGCCGCCTGGGTTTGGTCAAGGGCTTCTCGTTCTCGCCGTCGCTCTCCAGCTCGGAGAACTCCGCCAACTCGTCCTCCTTCATTGAGCTGTAGTGGCGTGTCTGCTTCCGCACCCTCGGAGTGTCAATCACCAGGGTGTTCTAAAAAATTTAAATTAAGTCCCACCAATACAATAAAATTGTGTCAAAACCCCCCAACCAACATTTCCCTCCCTGTTAAAATGCTAAAAACGGGTAGCACGTTTTTATTATTGACCTTATTAGCAGTTTCCCTACTAAGCTCAGTATATGTTTGTATATATATACACACATACATATATATATATATATATATATATATATATATATATATACACACACACACACATATATATACACACACACATATATATATATACACATACACAGTTGAAGTCGGAAGTTAACATACACCTTAGCCAAGTACATTTAAACTCAGTTTTTCACAATTCCTGACATTTAATCCTAGTAAAAATTCCCTGTTTTAGGTCAGTTAGGATCACAACTTTATTTTAAGAATGTGAAATGTCAGAATAATAGTAGAGAGAATGATTTATTTCAGCTTTTATTTATTTCATCACATTCCCAGTGGGTCAGAAGTTTACATACACTCAATTAGTATTTGGTAGCGTTGCCTTTAAATTGTTTAACTTGGGTCAAACATTTCGGGTAGCCTTCCACAAGCTTCCCACAATAAGTAGGGTGAATTTTGGCCCATTCCTCCTGACAGAGCTGATGTAACTGAGTCAGGTTTGTAGTCCTCCTTGCGAGCACACGCCTTTTCAGTTCTGCCCACAAATTCTCTATAGGATTGAGGTCAGGGCGTTGTGATGGCCACTCCAATACCTTGACTTTGTTGTCCTTAAGCCATTTTGCCACAACTTTGGAAGTAAGCATTGTCCATTTGGAAGACCCATTTGCGACCAATCTTTAACTTCCTGACTGATATCTTGAGATGTTGCTTCAATATATCCACATACATTTCCTCATGATGCCATCTATTTTGTGAAGTGCACCAGTCCCTCCTGCAGCAAAGCACCCCTACAGCATGATGCTGCCACCCCCGTGCTTCACGGTTGGGATGGTGTTCTTCGGCTTGCAAGCGTCCCCCTTTTTCCTCCAAACATAACTATGTTCATTATGGCCAAACAGTTATATTTTTGTTTCATCAGACCAGAGGACATTTCTCCAAAAAGTACGATCTTTGTCCCCATGTGCAGTTGCAAACCGTAGTCTGGCTTTTTTATGGCGGTTTTGGAGCAGTGGCTTCTTCCTTGCTGAGCGGCATTTCAGGTTATGTCGATATAGGACTCGTTTTACTGGGGATATAGATACTTTTGTACCTGTTTCCTCCAGCATCTTCACAAGGTCCTTTGCTGTTGTTCTGGGATTGATTTGCACTTTTCGCACCAAAGTACATTAATCCCTAGGAGACAGAACGCGTCTCCTTCCTGAGCGGTATGACGGCTGCGTGGTCCCATGGTGTTTATACTTGCGTAATATTGTTTGTACAGATGAACGTGGTTCCTTCAGGCGTTTGTAAATTGCTCCAAAGATGAACCAGACTTGTCATCAAGGCAAAGGGTGGCTATTTGAAGAATCTCAAATATAAAATATATTTTGATTTATGTAACACTTTTTTGGTTACTACATGATTCCATATGTGTTTTTTCATAGTTTTGATGTCTTCACTATTATTCTACAATGTAGAAAACCCTTGAATGAGTAGGTGTGTCCAAACTTTTGACAGGTAGCGTATATATACACACACACTCATCCAGGGTGACTTGCAGAGATGTCACGTCTGTTTATGCGGCTGGATTAAGTGCTATACTCCAGGGCCCTTGATGAGATGGAGGAGGAGAGAGCGGGAGCGGTGTGGGTTAGAGGAGGAGAGGAGAGAAAAGGACTTGCTCTCTAGACTGACTAAGTGATGTCTCTGTTCCCCTCCGGCAGCAGCATAAGCTGCTTACTGCCTCTGGGTCCACCGAAGAGGGGAATGCGGGGTAATTAAGGAATAGAAAGAGATTCCCACAGCCACCGTTTTAAATGAGCTTGCCTTAGCCCAGTTATGACTGGGGCTCCATGCATGGCTAGCCTGGGGTAATAAGCCATATTAATTAACGCTTTAGATTAGTGTATGTATGAGGGAGATAATACTATTGAGCTCTGATACTTTAACATGTGGTGTCTAAAGGGAGGGGAAACGCTGGTGTGGTGTGACCACCCCAGGCTGGGTTTCTCCCATTCCCATTGTAAATACTGCAACTGAGAATTCAGTCACAGAAGCCAAACTATCATCGCAATCAGTAGCCACTGTCCTCAAGTAGCCGTTTACTGTACGGTCCTTGAGACGGAACTACTGACCAAGCCAAGTCTCTACCCCCTAGGTCACCCCTGTTACACTACATTTCCCACAATACAATTTCCTGAGGCTCACCCGTCCATTGATGGCATCCATGTCGAGTTCCGCCTTCTTGGCCCACTTCTGCCAGAAGTCTGGGTCCTCCAGGGAAATGTCCGTCCTGTTCCCAGCGGCCACGAAGCTCGCCTGGGGAGAAAGGGAGAAGAAGAAACGGTCCCTAACGGTGAATCTCCGGAATGCATTTTCCCCACCTTTTTTTAATCAAATGACGATTTTGATCTCAAAGAAGTACTGCTGGGTTAGCTCCCACTGACACTGCAGTTTGATTCTGAAGGAGCCTGGCTCTCTAGTGGTAATGACCATAGAAATATAATTACTAGAATGGGCCGTCGGTCCACCCAGGCCCATAGACTTGAATGGGGAAATCTGTTCCAGTAATTCAATTCCTATGGTAATGACTACTGAAATGAATGAGCACCGCTACAAAAAGGGTGACAAGAATACATAGGAAACAGCGTATTGAAGCTACCTTGGCGAAAGTGGACCCCTTGCCCTCGGACTCAATGGTGATGGTCTGGGTTCGTCTCTGGAGGATCTGGTCAATGTCTTCCTCGCAAAACTTCGAGCCTTCGTCCTCCTCGTCCATCAGAGCTCCGTAAGCTCCTTTACGGAGGAGGTCCTCCACTTCCTTCTTAGACAGCTGCTGCACCTGAGGTGGTGGAGTACATTTGAGGGATTAGATTACTGAGCTCGGCACATCAACAGAAGTTTACCTTTCTTAAGACAAGACAATGAAGTAGGGTTGAGAAGAACCTCTTATCAAAAAGACAAGTGTGCAACCTAACTGTTCGATTGATGTACATATGCACACAGAACTTAGAGAGAGACTATAACAAGATGTCCTCAAGCCTGGTCTTGCTATTTGACTGTGAGAAATGTATGTGTGTCGTACCCCATTGGCTGCGTTCTCTCGGCCACTCATGGATTGCAGCACAGCCTTGTCAAGGCCCAGCTTGAGGCTGGCCTTGTCAAACATCTCCCTCTCATAGGAGTTCCTGGTGATCAGTCTGTAGATCTTCACTGCCTTGCTCTGGCCAATCCTGTGGCATCTGGCTTGTGCCTGAGATAGAGAGAGGAAAAGATAAAGACCGAGAGGTATGGAAAGAGAAAAAAACATGCTTAGATTCAGAAAAGCATAGATCAACTGATAATAACAAACAAAGTCATGGAGTGGTGTACCAGTGTGATAACATATTGTCTGCCCTGTTTTGGAAGGTTCACTCCTGTCTGTGCACTGTTTTTTGTTTAATTTACAAAACCTGTGTACTGCATTTTGACTAGTGTCTGTCTACTGTATTTTATCGGCACTGTATTGACCTGTGTAGTTATTTGAGTAGTGACCACAGTATTTTCAAAGATTCTAAAAATTGCACCTTCAACTATCAAACTAAGTGGTAAGACTAATTCCAAGCCAAGCCCAGTCTTCACACCTGTAAGTCATTCTGGGGGTTCCAGTCCGAGTCAAAGATGATGCAGGTGTCTGCAGCAGTCAGGTTGATGCCCAGGCCGCCGGCCCGGGTACACAGCAGGAAGACAAAGCGGTCAGAGTCCGGTCGAGAGAAGCGGTCGATCGCTGCCTGCCGGAGGTTACCCCTCACGCGGCCGTCGATACGCTCGTATGGGTACCTAGTCGGATTGAGACGGTCATGGTCAGCTTCAACATCAGATTCAACACAGTCATACTAAAACAACCCACATCTCTGAATCTGTCATTGATGTGCTTGCACAGACTACTAGTAAAATACATAACATTTATATATACACTGCTCAAACAAATAAAGGGAACACTTAAACAACAATGTAACTCCAAGTCAATCACACTTCTGTGAAATCAAACTGTCCACTTTGGAAGCAACACTGATTGACAATAAATTTCACATGCTGTTGTGCAAATGGAATAGACAACAAGTGGAAATTATAGGCAATTAGCAAGACACCCCCAATAAAGGACTGGTTCTGCAGGTGGTGACCACAGACCACTTCTCAGTTCCTATGCTTCCTTGCTGATGTTTTGGTCACTTTTGAATGCTGGTGGTGCTTTCACTCTAGTGGTAGCATGAGACTGAGTCTACAACCCACACAAGTGGCTCAGGTAGTGCAGCTCATCCAGGATGGCACATCAATGCGAGCTGTGGCAAGAAGGTTTGCTGTGTCTGTCAGCGTAGTGTCCAGAGCATGAAGGCGCTACCAGGAGACAGGTCAGTACATCAGGAGACGTGGAGGAGGCCGTAGGAGGGCAACAACTGATAGATTAATTTGTATTTTAAGAATAATGACTAAAGGATTTCACCCCAAATACAGTATAAATGTGTAAACTGTGTTACAATTATCAACCCACTAACAGAGGGGGGGGCGGGACTAAACATTCCAGGGTGAAGGAGAAAGGTGGAAACTGTTTAAGAAAGCCTCCTAAAGGTGGGCGGAGCAAAGTGCCTTTGTGTGTCAAGAGGTATAAAACAGTATGTATGTGTTTTGGGCGCCAGAGCTCTCCATGAATAAACATACAGATCATTATTGTTGGTTGTGGACCTTGAATCATTTATGATTAAAACCAGAGCCTTACAATCTCTGGTAATGATTCAAGCTTAGGTTGAATTAGAGATAGAAATTCTCCTAACAACAACCCAGCAGCAGGACCGCTACCTCTGCCTTTGTGCAAGGAGGAGCAGGAGGAGCACTGCCAGAGCCCTGCAAAATGACCTCCAGCAGGCCACAAATGTGCATGTGTCTGCTCAAACGGTCAGAAACAGACTCCATGAGGGTGTTGAGGGCCGACGTCCACAGGTGGGGGTTGTGCTTACAGCCCAACACCGTGCAGGACGTTTGGCATTTGCCAGAGAACACCAAGATTGGCAAATTCGCCACTGGCGCCCTGTGCTCTTCACAGATGAAAGCAGGTTCACACTGAGCACATGTGACAGACGTGACAGAGTCTGGAGACGCCGTGGAGAACGTTCTGCTGCCTGCAACATCCTCCAGCATGACCGGTTTGGCGGTGGGTCAGTCATGGTGTGGGGTGGCATTTCTTTGGGGGGCCGCACAGCCCTCCATGTGCTCGCCAGAGGTAGCCTGACTGCCATTAGGTACCGAGATGAGATCCTCAGACCCCTTGTGAGACCATATGCTGGTGCGGTTGGCCATGGCTTCCTCCTAATGCAAGACAATGCTAGACCTCATGTGGCTGGAGTGTGTCAGCAGTTCCTGCAAGAGGAAGGCATTGATGCTATGGACTGGCCCACCCATTCCCCAGACCTGAATCCAATTGAGCACATCTGGGACATCATGTCTCGCTCCATCCACCAACGCCACGTTGCACCACAGACTGTCCAGGAGTTGGCGGATGCTTTAGTCCAGGTCTGGGAGGAGATCCCTCAGGAGACTATCCGCCACCTCATCAGGAGCATGCCCAGGCGTTGTAGGGAGGTCATACAGGCACATGGAGGCCACACACACTACTGAGCCTCATTTTGACTTGTTTTAAAGACATTACATCAAAGTTGGATCAGCCTGTAGTGTGGTTTTCCACTTTAATTTTGAGGGTGACTCCAAATCCAGACCTCCATGGGTTGATAAATTTGATTTCCATTGATAATTTTTGTGTGATTTTGTTGTCAGCACATTCAACTATGTACAGAAAAAAGTATTTAATGAGATTATTTCATTCATTCAGATCTAGGATGTGTTGTTTAAGTGTTCCCTTAATTTTTTTGAGCAGTGTAGTTCAAATGCATCAACAATTCAAAGCAGAAGATGGGAAATAATCTATGGAGAGGAGGTAGGGCACTGGTCTCAAACAAATTTACTAAAACAACTGCGGCCCACATTAAAATCGGCTTACGGGCTGCATCTGGCACACGGGCCACCAGTTTCAGACCCCTGGGTTAGGGGATTGAAGAGAATAGAGGTTAGATCCGCACCGTTTCTGGATGAGGTAGTCCTCCAGGATGTCCAGGCAGCGCACCATCTGGGAGAAGACGAGGACCCTGTGTCCACCAGCCTTCAGCTTGGGCAGCAGCTTGTCGATAAGCACCAGCTTGCCCGCCGCCTGGATCATGGCCTGCAGGTGGAACTGGGCCATCTCGGCATGGTGGTTCTCACGGAAGTCCTCCAGGATCTTCTCCTCTGCACCTAGAACACAAGAGGAGCATGAGAATCATTCAAAGCAGCAAAACTAAACCCAGTCAGTTCAAACAAACAAACCCAAGCCAAGTACCAACAGTGGTTGTCATTTTTTTCCTTAGGCGGGGCACAGGACACCAAATCAACATCCAGAGGGTCCAAAATAAACCGAACGATTTTAGAATGAGTGTGATCTGCGTTAGTGTGTTTGTTCAGTACCGTTGATGAGGTAGGGGTGGTTGCAGCACTTCCTCAACTCCATCATGGTGTTGAGAAGGTTGGGGACCTGAGCCCCTCCACCTCCCCATGCGCCACCTCCTCCTCCTGGTCCTCCTTTAGACAGAAATGAGAAGTTCTTCTCCAGGATGGCCCGGTAGTACTTCTTCTGGATGTTGGTCAGCTCCACCTGAGAACAGGCGATAGGAACGACATCAGTCAGCAAGAGTCCTCATAATACGGCAGTAGTAATCCAACAGAGAAGGTAAGATGGCTTGTACGTTGCAAGAATTGACGTTAACATAGTTACAAACAAGTACAGGGAAACCTCACTATTTGACCATGAGGGACACACACCTCGATGATGGTCTCCTCCTTGGGGGCCAGGTTCTTCTCCACGTCCTCCTTGAGACGTCGCAGCATCATGGGCTTCAGGATGGCCTGCAGCTTCTGGACCTGCTCCTCAGTCTTGAGGTCTCCAAACTCCTGCATGAAGGTGTTCTCTGAGGGGAAGCGTTCAGGCTCCAGGAAGTTGAGCAGACTGAAGAGCTCCTCCACAGTGTTCTGCAGGGGTGTTCCTGTCAGCAGAACCTTGTGCTCCTTCACAGGGGGAGAGAGGAAGAAGTATTTAGTTATTACTATACTTAGTTCCTTCCAGTAGGTGTTTATATACTTTTTTTTTTATTACTCCTGTGATAGGGGAGGAGGAAGGCGGAAACATATTGTCCCATTAATGTCCATGAAATATTAGCATTTCATCAATAATGGTTGCTTATTGTCCAACAGGTCCAATGGCAAGTAGTCTTTCAAAAGACCACAGCCCTCCACAGGAGATAGGGAATACATTTTTAAATGCATTGTATCCACATGTGGTTGCACTGCAAAAAAATTAATAATGAATTGTCAAATAAACCATATATCTCAACTAGACATTTTTTCAGTTTCAACTCACCATGTCCATCATCTTGAGTCCCTCCAGCAGTTTACAGTTCCTGTTCTTGAGGCGGTGAGCCTCGTCGATGACCACACAGCGCCACGGGACGCTGCGCAGCTCCGGGCAGTCTGTCAGGATCATCTCAAACGTGGTGATGACGGCATGGAATTTGTACGCTCCCTTTATCACACGACCCTGAGGATGGAGGGAGGAGAAGAGAGAGAGAAAGGTAAGCACACAGATAAGATTGAGTGTCATGGTGAACAGTAGATTTTCCTGCCCAAGTGACTCAATCTGGAAAACTCTGGACCCTGGTTATAGGCTTACATGGTCGCTGAGGTACTGGTGGTCTTTTGCGGTACTGCAGGTGTTGCGCAATTTCTCTTTAGAATGTTATTGTCATTTTTGCCAAAGATAACAACAGTTGGGAGCATTAATGGTATTATAATGAATTTTACATTACTTTTCACAATGCTAATTGTAATAATAGGCCTTTAATCTGTTACATTTACTGATCAAATTGACTCTAAATTTGACCACCAAGATATTTTGATAAACATTCCGGAACTGCGAATAGTGGACTTTAAGAACTTTGGACGGTGAGTTGGTGGTCACCGGAACAGAAAAGATTGGGAACCGCTGGGTTAACACATTTAAATGGTTAGTGGGGTAGGTTATGGTCACATTTCAGTCACTGTAGTCTTTATTTGGTCTGGTACGGTCAGTGTGGAGCTCTGGTTAATGAGGTTAAGTACCTGACCATCTCTCTAAAGTGCTTATTTTGGGATTATTCTTAGATTAGGGTTAAGAACCTACTGTACCGTTCTATAGTGTAATTTAAGCCTAAACATCTTGTGAGGTCATGGTTTGTTATGTAATGCTAAAGTTATGATAGAGTTAGGTCATGGTGTGGTTGGGATTATCATTACATTAAGGTCATGTTACCTGTGCGTCTGGCCTTAACGGTCATGTTAAGTTAAGTATGGTCACGTCATACCTGTGAGCCGCAGGAGTTCACCTCGTAGGCCTGGGCTGTCTTGTTATAATATAATAATAATATAATATGCCATTTAGCAGACGCTTTTATCCAAAGCGACTTACAGTCATGCGTGCATACATTTTTGTGTATGGGTGGTCCCGGGGATCGAACCCACTACCTTGGCGTTACAAGCGCCGGGCTCTACCAGTTGAGCTACAGAGGACCACAGTTATAGTTGTGCTATGGTTAGGTCATGGTTACAGTACTGTCACGTTACAGTCAAGACGTACCTGCGCGTCGCGGTAGTTCATTTCGTAGGCCTGGATGGTCTTGCGGCTGGCCTGGCTGCCGTGGTAGACGATGACGTTGAGTTCAGTCCAGGTGCGGAACTCCCTCTCCCAGTTTGGAATGGTGGAGAGGGGGGCGATGACCAGGAAGGGCCCGTGGATCCCCTTCAGGTAGATCTCATAGAGGAATGTGATGGACTGGATGGTCTTGCCCAGGCCCATTTCATCTGCTAGGATGCAGTTCCGTCTGGAGGGGAGGGGGAGAAACAGATATGAACATGATGAAAGGGAGTAAGTCGCTGTTTTAGCAGTAGTGAGCCATCTAAATGTGCAGTTAGGAGGAAACAAAGGAGGAGAGAAAACAATGCAATGAAAGAGATGTAACCGGGATAGTGTCGGTCTCAAATGACACCCTATTGACTATCTAGTGCCCTACCTTTGGCCAGAGTCCTAAGTGTGTCCTTAAGTCTCTGTTCACTCCATTAGTGAGTGAGTAATCTAATGAACAGTTAAGCTAACCCAGTTAGGGCAGATCGATGACATTCAAATTAAGAAGTAGTGTGTGTGTGTGGAAGCTTTTCTATAGTGTTATACTGATATATTGGGGTAGGCAGGTTACATTGGTGATGGGGGGATGGACGGACGGACGGACGGGGTGTGTGTGCGTGCAGTAGTGTGTCGTGTGCAGCAGCGGTAGATCGCACATTAATGATTAGTGTGAGAAAAGCACAGCATGGGTACACACGTCCCTATAACACATGGGTTGGAGGACACCCTTTGGGGAATGGATGTGTTGATTGTATTCACGCATGTTGGGTGACATGTTTAAGTATTATCCATGCGAATGTGTTGGATAAACATAGCATATACACTACATGACCAAAAGTATGTGGACACCTGCTTGTCGAATATGTCATTCCAAAATCATGGCCATTTGCTGCTACAACAGCCTCCACTCTTCTGGGAAGGCTTTCCACTAGATGTTGGAACATTGCTGCAGGGACTTGCTTACATTCAGCCACAAGAGCATTAGTGAGGTCGGGCAATGATGTTGGGCGATTAGGCCTGGCTCGCAGGCAGTGTTCTAATTCATCCCAAAGGTGTTCAATGGGGTTGAGGTCAGGGCTCTGTGCAGGCCAGGCAAGTTCTTCCACACCGATCTCTACAAACCATTTCTGTATGGACCTCGCTTTGTGCACGGGAGCATTGTCATGCTGAAATAGGAAAGGGCCTTCCCCCAACTGTTGCCACAAAGTTGGAAGCACAGAATCGCCTAGAATGTCATTGTATGCTGTAGTGTTAAGATTTCCCTTCACTGGAACTAAGGGGCCTAGTCCGAACTATAAAAAACCGCCCCAGACCATTATTCCTCATCCACTAAACTTTACAGTTGGCACTATGCATTGGGGCAGGTAGCATTCTCCTGGCATCTGCCAAACCCAGATTCATCCATCAGACTACCAGATGGTGAAGCGTGATTTGTCATTCCAGAGAACGTGTGTCCACTGCTCCAGAGTCCAATGGCGGCGAGCTTTACACCACTCCAGCTGACGCTTGGCATTGTGCATGGTGATCTTAGGCTTGTGTGCGGCTTCTCAGCCATGGAAACCCATTTCATGAAGCTCCAGACGAACAGTTATTGTGCTGACGTTGCTTCCAGAGGCAGTTTGGAACTAGGTAGTGAGTGTTGTAACCAAGGACAGACGATTTTTACGCGCTACGCGCTTCAGCACTAGGCGATCCCGCTGAAATAGCCGAATCCACTATATATATATATAAAAGTATGTTATTGAGTATTTGTGGGTTTTTATCACATTTTGGAGTAGTTGTTCGATATCATGTATATTATACTATATAACCGTTAAATAATAAACATGTTGTATGATAGTGGGTCACACAGACACATCATACAGCTTAGCACACACACACACACACACACACACACACACACACACAGAGAGAGAGAGTAAGTTATAGTACTTCTCCTTACGTATTGTACCAGTTGAAGAGCAGCCAGTTCACTCCCTCCAGCTGGTATTCCCTGAGTGCGTTGTCGTTTTTATAATCCCTGGAACTCTCGGATTTCTGCCAGTCGTCGGTGGGAGGTCGCTCCTGTTTCAAATAAAAGCCTGCCGTTAGTGGTTTCCGTGCGACTGCAGGAGCGTGGCCTTGCTGGCTCCGAGTTAAAGGGCGGGGGCCATAAAATCTAAGAAAAAGGCAGCAGGAGAGTCTGTAGAGTGTGAGTGAGTGGAGGTTTTTATACTCACAACCCGCTTGGTCTTGGGCTCGCGGGCCACCACGGCCTCGTACTCCTCGATCTTGGCCTGGTCGATGTCGGCCTTCAGCTCCCACGTGCTGTCCTCATAGGGCAGGGAGCACCACTTCACCAGGTACAGGTTCACAGGCTGGGGAAAGAGGGGAGGCAGAGAGGGGGTTAGTGTCTTTCTGTGACTCCAAGATGAAAGGAAAGGGCAACCAACGTTTGGTCTGAACTTAAAAGGAATGTTCAGCCAATGAACGTCAAAAGAAGGATAAGTCAAGGACATAACCAAACCTATTCCATCTTTGGAGGCCATTTAAAGGCCATATAGAACAGGTAGAAAAGAAACAGAGAGAAGGAACAAACCACTCCGTTCTCATCCGTGCTCTCTGACACGTCCAGGACCCGGTCCACCTCAACATAGTCCGGGTTGAAAGGCTCGTCATCCATCTGCAGGAGGGAGGGAGGGAAAGAAAGAGGTTAGCTTCTGACCATTCTAATGGCAGATGCAAATAGCAGGAAGAGTGAAGGGTAGAGAGAGTCCGTAAGATTCACCCAACCAAATATAACGTTATGTTATTGAATCCTCTGAAGTAGAAAGTGGGAGGATGTCAAGTGAATTTCTATCTCTAATTCAACCTAAGCTTGAATCATTACCAGAGGTTGTAAGGCTCTGGTTTTAATCATCAATGATTCAAGGTCCACAACTCACAAGTCTTATCTGTATTTTTATTCATGGAGAGAGCTCTCCCGCTAAAAACACATACATTCTGTTTTTATACTTCTTGACAAACAAAGGCACTATGCTCCTCCCACCTTTAGGTGGCTTTCTTAAACAGTTCCCGCCTCCTCCTTTACCCTTGAATGTTTAGTACCCCCTCTGTTAGTGGGTTGACACTACATGATAATTCGAATATCGTATACACATATCTACTGTATTTGGGGTGAAATCCTTTAGTCATTATTTTTAATACACAAATTAATCTATTAGAGGAAGGGAAAGAAACATATTCTACAATGTGTGTCAAAACTGACACAAAATGGCAGCCAAACACTGGGGAAGATAAAGGTGCGGGACTGACCTCCGTCACAAACGTGGCGAGGGCCTGTTTGGCCCTGAACCGTTTGACTTTCTGGTGGATCCTTTTGTCCTTCTCCAGCTCCTCCAGATCTGCCCAGCGACAGTGCAGGTAGGAGCTACACAGAGAGAGAGGGGAACACAACGCGTTACACACACATTTAATTCACACCATAACAAACCATGACAAACACCATAACAGACACGTCATGACGTACACACCATATACCAATAACACACACTACCAAACATGCGGCTACCCGGATAAAGCACTAAATAAACTTCAGTTAGTGCTAAATACGGCTGCTAGAATCCTGACTAGAACCAAGAAATTTGATCATATTACTCCAGTGCTAGCTTCCCTACACTGGCTTCCTGTTAAGGCAAGGGCTGATTTCAAGGTTTTACTGTTAACCTATAAAGCGTTACATGGGCTTGCTCCTACCTATCTTTCCGAGTTGGTCCTGCCGTACATACCAATACGTACGCTACGGTCACAAGACGCAGGCCTCCTAATTGTCCCTAGAATTTCTAAGCAAACAGCGGGAGGCAGGGCTTTCTCCTATAGATCTCCATTTTTATGGAACAGTCTGCCTACCCATGTGAGAGACGCAGACTCGGTCTCAACCTTTAAGTCTTTACTGAAGACTTATCTCTTCAGTAGGTCATATGATTGAGTGTAGTCTGGCCCAGGAGTGTGAAGGTGAACGGAAAGGCTGGAGCAACGAACAGCCCTTGCTGTCTCTGCCAGGCCGGTTCCCCTCTCCACTGGGGTTCTCTGCCTCTAACCCTGTTGCAGGGGCTGAGTCACTGGCTTGCTGGTGCTCTTTCATGCCGTCCCTGGGAGGGGTGCGTCACTTGAGTGGGTTGAGTTACTGACGTGATCTTCCTGTCTGGGTTGGCGCCCCCCCCTTGGTTTGTGCTGTGGTGGAGACCTCTGTGGGCTATACTCGGCCTTGTCTCAGGATTGTAAGTTGGTGGTTGGGGATATCCCTCTAGTGGTGCGGGGGCTGTGCTTTGGCGGAGTGGGTGGGGTTATATCCTTCCTGTTTGGCCCTGTCCGGGGGTTTCTTCGGATGGGGCCACAGTGTCTCCGGACCGCTCCTGTCTCAGCCTCCAGTATTTATGCTGCAGTAGTTTATGTGGCTGGGGTTAGTTGGTTATACCTGGAGTACTTCTCCTGTCTTATCCAGTGTCCTGTGTGAATTTAAGTATGCTCTCTCTAATTCTCTCGTTCTCTCTTTCTCTCTGAGAACCTGAGCCCTAGGACCATACGTCAGGACTACCGGGCATGATGACACCTTGCTGTCCCCAGTCCGCCTGGCCTTGCTGCTATTCCAGTTTCAACTGTTCTGCCTGCGGCTACGAAACCCCTACCTGTCCCAGACCTGCTGTTTTCAACTCTAAATGATCGGCTATGAAAAGCCAACTGAGAGACCTGAGCCCTAGGACCATACGTCGGGACTACCGGCCGTGGTGACTCCTTGCTGTCCCCAGTCCGCCTGGCCTTGCTGCTATTCCAGTTTAAACTGTTCTGCCTGCGGTTATGGAACCCCTACCTGTCCCAGACCTGCTGTTTTAAACTCTAATGATCGGCTATGAAAAGCCAACTGAGATTTATTCCTGATTATTATTTGACCATGCTTGTCACTTATGAACATTTTTGAACATCTTGGCATGGTTCTGTTATAATCTCCACCCGGCACAGCCAGAAGAGGACTGGCCACCCCTCATAGCCTGGTTCCTCTCTAGGTTTCTTCCTAGGTTTTGCCTTTCTAGGGAGTTTTTCCTAGCCACCGTGCTTCTACACCTGCATTACTAGCTGTTTGGGGTTTTAGGCTGGGTTTCTGTACAGCACTTCGAGATATTAGCTGATGTAAGAAGGGCTATATAAAATAAAATTGATTGATTGATTGATTGATGCGCTAATCTAGAGAATTATAGCATTATATAATGATCTTAATACAAACAGTAGTCCTGTGGTTTACAGAGCGTGTATTAGATTTCACGTTGTATTACAACGCCATTTATCCACCATTTCTCCCTGAAAACTTGAGGTAATCAAATGACATGGTGAACTATGGCCACTGTATTGTAGTGTGTCGGTACATTGGTTACTCACAAGCTCTTGAACTTCACATAGAATTCTTCCACTTCCATTTCCTCCCCCGATTCCATCTGTGAAAAAACAAAGACGTAAATATTTGTGTCAGTTGTTGTGGATTACAGTTGGGAGATAGGAGTGTGAGTTTTGGGATAAGATGCAAAGTTTGTCCTTGAGCGTGAGCAAATAAAAAATAAAAAATAAATAAAAAATCCAGGCCACCATAACGTCTAACAAATATCTCTTGGTACAGAGTTCTCTGACAAACTGACAATAGCCCCCCACCCCCCATTAAAGACCAACCATCTCCACTCTGCACTGCTGGGGATGACTCATGAATCACTTCTACGCACACACAGCCGCACTACACTCACGTGCGCGCACACACGGTTCCATTCACAGAGAGCTGACCCGAGGCCTGGCTTCCTGCCAAAACCACAGCGCTACGACAGACGCCAAACTAGCATTTCCTCGGGCAGAGTGTGTGCGTGCGTGTGAGGTGGGGGGGGTAACCCATTCGCAGCTGCCTTAGTTCGAGTCCCAGCCGCCAGCCAGCCTGCACGAGTGTTCGTATTGTTTTTGGCAGAGGTGAACCGAGCTTTGTTTTGGAGCAGCTTTTGAAAGGGAATGAAGAAACACATACCCTGAAGACAGACAGACACACACAACTCTCTCACACACACACACACACAGTCTGGAGTGTAATGTACCATACAAAAGCAGCCGGTCTTGGGGGAACACAAAGCGCTAGACTGTTCTCATTCCTTTCACAATGAAGTATCTGGACTTTTAAGTAAAACAGACTCAAGTCTCATGTCAACTCCCCTGCTGCGAAGGTCTGGTCTAATCCAATCCTACTCCAGCCCAAAAGTCACGAGACCCAAGTCCGCGCAACTCTGTCTCACCGGCTTCTTTCCAGACCATTGCTAGACTGGTCTAAGAAGCGGCTGTCTAGGAGGAAGGATGTGTGTGTGTAGAATCAGTTTAGAGCTGGTTGAGCAGCGGTTAATAAGATGACGCCAGGGCAGGGGTGCTGGTACCCATTTTCTCTCCAGCGACGCAGCTGTCAGTGTGTGTGTGTACGCGCCTCACCTCTTTCTTCCCCAAGCGCATGGCCATGATCTTCTCCACCACAGGCCCCTCTGTCTCCACCACCTCCTACAGTCACACAGATGGAACAACATTAGCAGTCATAAGTAATGAAGAGCAGGGAGCACAAATCTAGTCCCACACCCCCCAAAAAAATCAGACACTTTCGCTCTCAGTCTGACACGGACAAGCTCTTTCTCTCTGGCACGCACACACCAGGGCTCTCTCTCTCTCTGTGGGTGCTGACCTGCTGTTCAGAGTTGTTGGAGGGGGACTTGGGAGCGGGGGAGTCGTCTCCATCATTGTCCTCATCCGAGATCCTGAACTCCAGTTCCTCTGTGTAGCGCTTCCTCTTCACCTGACGACTGGAGCGACGCTTCTAGAGAGAGAGCGAGAGAGCGAGAGAGCGAGAGAGCGAGAGAGCGAGAGAGCGAGAGAGCGAGAGAGCGAGAGAGCGAGAGAGCGAGAGAGAGAGAGAGAGCGAGAGAGAGAGAGAAGGGGAAGAGAGAGAGAAGGGGAAGAGAGAGAGAAGGGGAAGAGAGAGAGAAGGGGAAGAGAGAAGGATAAGGGATAGTGGAAGGTGAGAAGTGAACATTTGTACTTCACAGTACCATGCTAGGGCAACAATCCACAAAACAGAATAACCATAACAGAAAAGTTCATCCTAAGCATGACTTAGAATAGAAATGTGATTGGCAAATAAAACCAGGGTGGAAACCTGGTAAGATACAAATGTAAACACACTAATGCGGATATGATCAATCAGGAAAAAACTAATCTCCAACTTCCACAATCCACAGCCCAGTCGAACCTAGGGACCCAGCCACACATCCATGCTCTAGCGCAGGGCAGGCAGTCGTCTGCCTCTCTCCTAAAGGTCTAAATAGTGTCAGCTGCAATTATGGTATTACATCTGTCAGGCCGTGCCTACTGTTTAAGAGTGGTGGAAATTGGACAATGCCTCAGTGTCAGATGGCTGGGTCACCTGGATGTTTGGGTTGGTGAAGTAATTTGCTGCTAACAGCTCCCATATGCCTGGCTCAGAGCGGGGGAGTGTGTGTTTGTTTGAGTGAGTGAGTGAATCTAGCATTAAGATATTTTTATTGAATTCACTCCTGGAAAATACCGGGACCGGATGAAAAGTCCATTACTTAACACCAGGCCCGTGGCTGAACGCCCATCTAGGAAATAGGGTGCCATTTGGGATGCATACTTAAGACTTAACCTGGCTCTTTAGTTCAGCCATCATCCGTATGGCTGTATTATTAAATCCATATTAAGACCAGATTTAAGTCAATAAATTAACATGGGGGCTTATTGGGTGGCTTCTGAGAGGGTTTACATTGTTGGAAAGAGTGTGTTTGTCTATGTACTATACCACTGATGTTACTCTGTATGAACTGACTTTATTGTGTGTGTGCCACTAATGTTACTGTGTGTGTGTGTGTGTGTGTGTGTACCTGGACACCGTCGTCGTCCTCCTCATCGGAGGGTGGTGTGGGTGACTTCTCCACATCGGAGTTGACCGAGGGCTCCCTCTTCCTCTTGGTCTCCTTGTTCACACTGCTGCCACTGTCCTCTGCTGCCTCCACCTTCTTAGTGCTGCTGCTGGGGGAGGAAAGAGAGGAAGGAGGGATGAAGAAAGAGGGATGAGGAGAAGGATGAAAGAGAGCGATAGAGAGGAGGGGAAGGAGGGATGAAAGAGCGATAGAGGGGAAGGAGAAATATTAAATAAAGAGATGATTATTAGAGAAGACGGATAATAAAGAGGGGCGGGGGTGAGAGAAGAGAAGGATGAGTGAGTCTGAACACCATCTCCTATCATCACCATCTTGTATTGCACATAAACAGATATTGCAGTCAGCTTTTGGTTGTCTGTGTGTCTGATATTCTAAAGTCAACAATGCCTAAAGTATAATTACCTTCACACCATGAGGGACAACCTCTTATCATAATCTGCTCCCAATATAAAGGCTTTTTCCATAGCATGAGAACCTTCTGTAGACACCAGTGGAGACCATTTTCATGACTGTTGGAACAATCAACAATCACCCGTACACAACAGGAGAATTCAGCAGATTAACCTGTGGTTTCAAAGTTGATGTTCGATACACAAGAAGATGGATGTCATCTGGGATTTCTAGTAAGTAACCATCTTGGAGAGACCATGTTTTGACTTAACAGTTTGAGGTCCTTTCCTTGAGGACGGAGGGTTAAAACATGAAAGGGAAGAGAGGGAAGGAGTGTTGTCTCCTCTCTTTCCACTGTGTGTGTATGTACCCACACACCCACACCCACCCAGAGCTCCGCGGCTGCCACAGATTACACAAAGCCCAGGGGGTGGGCAGTCTACCCCCCTCTCGCCTTCTCTCTCTACTCTAGGGCCCCCCTCTCCTTTCATTTGCACGCCAAGAGCAATCACATCGCCCTGGTAACCGGCGATCACATGACCCGCACCTGTTCCTCTGGCTGGACGCCACCGGCTGGAGCCATCTGCTCTACTCAGTCAGACTCCCTCGCTCTTCTCCTTTTCTTCTCTCCCGCTATCGCGTCTCTCCTCTATGGCTCCTCTCTTTCTCCTCTATGGCTTCTCCTTGCTTTCTCTGTCCCTCTTTTTCCCCCTCTCCTCCTCCTCCTCTTTCTCTATGGCCTCTCCTCCTCCTCCTCCTCTTTCTCTATGGCCTCTCCTCCTCCTCTATGGCCTCTCCTCCTCCTCCTCTATCTCTATGGCCTCTCCTCCTCCTCCTCTTTCTCTATGGCCTCTCCTCCTCCTCTCCTCTCATGGCCTCTCCTCCTCCTCCATCTCTCTAGGCCTCTCTATCTCTCTCCTCCTCTATGGCCATCTCCTTCCTCTCTCTCTATGGCTTACTCCTCCTCTATGGCCCTCCTCCTATGGCTTATGGCCTCTCTCTCCCTCCTCCTGTATTGGCCTCTCCTCCTCTCCTCCTCTCTTATGGGCTCTCCTCTCTCTTCCTCCTTATGCCTCTCCTCCTCCTCTCCTCTATGTCCTCTCCTCCTCCTCCTCCTCTATGGCCTCTCCTCCTCCTTCCTCCTCTCTATGGCCCTCTCCTCCTCCTCCTCCTCTAGGCCTCTCCTCCTCCTCCTCCTCTATGGCCTCCTCCTCCTCCTCCTCCTCTATGGCCTCTCCTCCTCCTCCTCCTCTATGGCCTCTCTCCTCCTCCTCTATGGCCTCTCCTCTCCTCCTCCTCTATGGCCTCTCCTCCTCCTCTCTCTTCTTGGCCCCTCCTCCTCTACCTCTCCTCTCTCCTCCTCTATGGCCTCTCACTCACTCCAATTCCTAGACTCACTTTTTCTTTGTTCCCTCCTTGACTCATTTCCTCTTGTTACATAGGCTATTTACAGTCAGGACTATTCAACCTTTTATCCTGTAAAAGTTGGCCAAACAAATCCATTACTTCAAAGTTAATACAAATCTTCTTGTACAAAGCATCAGTTTATACAATGTCAAAGACTCCATTTACAAATTTACACATGTTTTAAATGACATTTAAATACAACATTACTTGACATTTGAACAGTGTGCACTTCACCAATCTTTATTCCCCTTCACCCAATCTTTTGCTCTGCACTGTGTAAATTGTTAAAGTAGTCCTTGTGCATAGAGTTGTATGGTTGGTTAAACTACATTTTAAAGTGAAAAACCTGATTCTCATACTTCTGTAACTGTTGAATTGCCCATAAGCTTCCCCATCTCTTTCCCCCTCCCAATCAACCACAGACCTGCTCTTTTTGTCTCCATCCATTCTCCTCTCCTCATTCTTCTTGGTCAGCTGCTCCAATGTCCATCATTCTCCCTCAGAGACTTAATCGCTCTCTTCCTCTCTCATTATACCGTTCTATCTTATTGATCAGTTTCATCATCCCTTCTCTCATTCTCTCTCAGCTTAATCTCAATTTCCCCCTTCTTCCTCCCCTCTTTCCTTCTCCATCTCTTTGGTCAGCCTCTCAATCTCTCTTCTCCTGCCTGTTTTTATACTCCTCTATCAAGTCTCCAATCCTTCACTCTCCCCAATCATCTCCTCCTTCACTCTCCCCATCTCCTCCTTCACTCTCCCCATCTCCTCCTTCACTCTCCCCATCTCCTCCTTCACTCTCCCCATCTCCTCCTTCACTCTCCCCATCTCCTCCTTCACTCTCCCCATCTCCTCCTTCACTCTCCCCATCTCCTCCCCCATCAGTCTCTTCTACTCCTCCATCTCATTATCCAGTCACAAGGTATTGTGGGCAGGGTTCAAGGCAAGACTATGGGGCTGTGTGTGTATGCACCCAGGGGAGGGAGGGAGGTAGTGGAGACAGCAACACAGAGGGCTAATGCCGCTAACCAACGCTGTTATAGATACAGCACAAGGGCATGACGTTTCATAAGATGGTGTGGCACTAGTGTGTAGTACCAAAATACCATTCGGCCATGATGGTGCTGTAACCGCATTAACAAGCAGGATTTGTTCAACTGCACTGCTGAAATGAATCTGGAATCTGGTCTCTGGGGTGTACTGAATGGCATTTAGGCATGTGGTCCTCCAGCAGTGGTGTGTGTGTGTGACTTTGCTCAGTGTGTGTGTGTGTGATGGTCCATGCTGACAGCAAGGAGACGGGAGGAGGAGAGGGAATAGAGGGAGGAGAAGGTCGGAGGAGGGAGAGTTATAGGACACCTGCTGTCCGCTGGTGAGATGAGTCATACACAGCTGGACCCCCTGACACTTTCTCCCCGGGCGCACACACACACACACCACACACACACACACCACACAGCTTTAGCATACTTGCAAAGGCCAATGAATGCACACAGGAGTATACACACAGCTTCAGCAGAGCGCCTGCAATAACTCTATGGAGACATTAATAAGGGAAGTTTTCTCAGTCACGTGACTGGCTCGGGAGGGTAGGTGCCTCAATGTGAGTAGGCAACAGATGAAGATAAATGGTCTGGTGTGTGTAGATTGAGGAAGGCCCTTCTGTCAATTCAGTATGAAGGAGACGTTGTGGTATCACACGTTTCAAGGGTTAACAGTCTGTGTTTGCATTAAGGGAGAGCCACAAACACACTCAATGTGAGGTGCTGCATGTGTGCTTCCCTCTTCCTGACGGCTGTGTGTACAGCAAACAAATCTGCCAGCATACACACACACACCACACCGCACACACACGGGTGTGGCAGCGAGAGGAGCAACGATGCAGGAGAGGGTGTAGCTATTAATAGCTCAGCCTTCTCCCAGGATGACCGAGCACACAACCACAAGGTCAAAAGACAGCCTTCTACCTGCTAGCCACTGGCTCTCTCTCTCCTGAAGCCTCCCACTCCATCCATGTCAGTGACGCTGGCTAGGCAAGCAGGGGACAGATAAAATTATGAGCACATGGAGTTGAGCCAAACAGAGTATCTCTACACAGTGCAAAGGAGAGGTCTGCTCCATTTCAGCTGTACTCACGACTTATTCAGATATGGCTTCCACCATATTGCTTTCACCTATGCCATCATGGAAGGTACTTTGACCTGACCAGTGTATCAATTCATATAGGATTTTTAGGGTGTTTTTCTAAAACCCAAAGTGTAAGGAAAGGTGACGGGCGGAGAAAGCCACTTTAGACCACTGAGAAATTCAGACACGGAGGTTCCCTCTCTGTGTACTCAGGGAGCAGATGACATGGCCATTGGCCAAGACCAAGTTCTAGGATCAGTTCCATTTTTCCCACCTCATGGTTGAGGCCAGGGTTGGGTTGGAGGACGTCTGATCTCCAATCTGGACTTGGAGTAGAAAACTTCTGCCTGAAGATTGGGAGAATGTTAAGTCCACCATTACAGGATGGAGGTTGAGTGAATGAGCTGCCACCATTATCATGCTAAATTAACCCATTGGCCTAGCCATCACAAAATGGAGGAAGGTTATGAAGAATAGTGCTCTCACGATACCAGAATTTGGCTTTGATACCGATACCAGGTTTAGTATCACAATACTCGTTAATGAATAACACATGTACATATTACCTCAACTAACCTGTGCCCCCGCACACTGACTCTGTACCGGTACCCCCTGTATATAGTCTCGCTATTGTTATTTTACTGCTGCTCTTTAATTATTTTGCTATTTATTTTTTACTTAACACTTAATTTTCTTAAAACTGCATTGTTGGTTAAGGGATTGTAAGTAAGCATTTCACGGTAAGGTCTACACCTGTTATAGTCGGCACGTGACAAATAACATTTTATTTTATTTGAAACGATACTCAATACCAAAACGATACTCGATAACGAAACCACGGCAAAAGAAACAAAGTGTATTAGCTAGTCACAGAATAACCACTGGGCTTTATTTTTTTATTTTTTTTACATTGAACAATATGTTGATAACTGGTATAACTAAAATAACAAATATAACATTTCTATTTTATATTCAATTTCTTTCAACAACAAAAAATGCCATATTAAATAAGAAGAATCTTACATTTTCCTTATGCAAAACCAAACCATATGAGAATAATTGAACAATTACATCTAAACTGTTTTAAAATGTAATTTGATACATGTCAGGGTTAATTTGCTCATCTATGGCCGTAATATTGGGTCAATTTACATTCATTACAGTTAAGATTCGTTATTCATTACAGCTAAATCATTTAATGTATTAAATGAACAGTTTAGTTCCAAAACACAAACACTTAAGTTCATTTCTGAAGCTTCTATTTTGCAATAGTCTAGACACCATAGAAATACAATGGATTTTACACGGCACACTACGATTCCCAGAGTGCATTTCAACTCCCAGAGTGCAATGCTCCGCCCAGGGCTGCTGGCTGGCTAATGGTAGCAAGCCCAGACAAACACGAAGTAGGCCTAACTTTAGCTATGACAGCAATATATTTAGACTAAGTTATGAGTGCATTTCACATTACTTTTGGGATGTAATCATATTATAATGCTCACATGAAAGTCATACTGAATATATGTTCATGTCATTTTCACTCAAATTATTCGAATTTAGTTGCTAGTAGAATAACGTTACAATGCAAATGTGTGTAAAATTGTTTGTAATTTTTTTTGCAACTAAACCTCCTTTGCACTGCACTGCTTTGTAACACCTTTTGCATAGTTGTTTCGGTGGGCTTGCCCTCATCGGCGGTGTAAGCAAAGTATTCCCATAGTTCACTTCTGGAGCCAGTTTTGTCAACAAGCTGTGGGCGGAGGTATGATGTTTTCGTTAGAAGAAGCCATGCTGTCGGCATTTGCGCTCTCCTCTCGCTTGCTTCTCAAAAGTGGCTTGCGCTGTGTCGGCTGCATGCGCAAGTAGCCTGGCTAGCTTACTACTACCCCATTGAGAAGATTGACAACTTACTAGACATATGGATTGAGAGGATCGAGTCTATGATGCGAGACACATTTGGGCTCCCGAGTGGCGCAGTGGTCTAAGGCACTGCATCTCAGTGCTTGAGGCGTCACTACAGACCCCCTGGTTCGATTCCAGGCTGTATCACAACCGGCCCGTGATTGGGAGTCCCATAGGGCGGCGCACAATTGACCCAGCGTCGTCCGGGTTTGGCCGGTGTAGGCCGTCATTGTAAATAAGAATTTGCTCTTAACTGACTTGCCTAGTTAAATAAAGGTAAAATAAAAAATAAAAAATTGAAAGAAGTACCGAAGGTAACAGAAATTCTAGTACCAAACAGTGTTTCATGTTCTAGTATCGAGTACAGATGTATACCATGCAACACTAGTGGAGAAGGGAGTTGGCCCCAATCGATTGGAGCTCATTTACCTAGCCTTTTTGCAGGGCTTCCTTCCAGTGCTAGAGTCAGGCCTGGTGGCTAAATGAGGCAGCATGGCCTTGATTACCATTAGCGGCCATTTTACGCCACAAGATTACCTCCTCCCCCTCTAGGCGCATACACACACACACGCGCGCGCAAACAAACAGAAACACACTCACTTCCCTCTACCACACAGCCACACATGAATCTTTTTTTCCTTCCCCCCACCTCTCGCTTCCTCTCACACACACACACACCTCCCCTCTGCTGACCCCTGCTCCGGTGCTGGGCCGCAGATGCGTGGCTGACTGGCGGCTCTGGCCCCTCCCTCTTCCTCTGGATGAAAGGGGCCAAGCGGCAGGAGGAGTGACAGCACTGCGGAGTAGGGGAAGAGAGGAGGGGGATGAGGGCAGCGGGATAGAGAGAGCAGAGAGAGAGGTGGGGGTGGGGGCTCTGCTGACACATTCCTCAGGCAGCTCATGTTACTACCTCCACAATGAAAAGGCCAGATCGCTCACTGGCTCGCTCACTGGCTCTGCCCACCTGCTTTGCATTTCCACTCAGCGAGGGGGAGAGAAGGGAGGAGAGAGAGAGAGAGGAGGTAGACCGAGACGCAGGGTCTTTAGCATGCTAAGGGCTCCTGAAGCCATGTGATAGACCGAGACAGAAGCAAGAGACAGGAGACGAGAGAGAGAGAGAGAGAGAGACCAACACTGTCTGTGAGATATGGCGTTGAGGTGGACAGACCCTGTAACATGGAGCGTTTCCATCCATTTCAAGTTCTAGATTAATCATTCAGGTTCACTCAACTTCTACTTACAGGTTAAGTTGACTGGAGATTTTCAGTGGTTTCATATAGGCCATGACTAAATGCTAAAGGCCAACCAACAGCTTGGTTTGGCAGCAACTTGGTGTGCTACTACTGCTGCTGTTAACATCAATAGATGGCTGCTTCACAATTCAGTGTACACTCACAAACCCAGGGCCACTCCACCAGCAGCACAGCTAGTTCACTGAGCCGCATGATCACATAACCAACCAGTGTCCCTGCCTACATGTGCCAAGACCCTGGACGTCACTCAGTCCACCTGGGTGTTCACGAACTCTGGGTCATGACCTGCGTTTCCCACTGACTGGTCACGTGACTGAAGAGCAAGGTTTATCCAACTAAGTACTAAAAGCATAAATACTGACCTGAACACACAGACTCAAATCAGCAAGGCATTCAATAACAGTAGTTAGAGAGCAGCTTATGTAGAGGTATGGGCCTAGATGTAGCCTAGCTAATGTAGTGCTGGTATTAATAGTTAAGCCTCTACTAGAGTGATGTAGCCTACATTAATTTATGTAATGCAGGTGTAACCTACCTGGGCTTCTTGGGCGTCTTGGCCTTGGGGGTGGTGCTCTTGGCCTTCTTGTCCTTGGGCTCTTTGGGGGTCTTGGGCGTTTTCGGAGTCTTGGGCGGCTTGGGCTCTTTAGGCTCCTTGGGCTCCTTCTCCTTTGGTTTCTTCTTGGTCTTCTTCTTCTCCACCGCCGGCGAATCCTCCAGGGCGCGTGTCAGAGGGTCAACCTCCACCCCGCAGCGGTCCCCGACCTCCGGCTTCCTCTCCTCGTCACCTTCCTCTATAACTCCTTTCTTCTTCTTTTTCTGCTTCTTCTCCCCCTCTCCTTCCTTCTCATCCTCAATCACCTTGGCTTTCTTCTTCTTCTTCTTTTTTGGCTTCTGCTCTGTGTCCGTGGGCTGCTGGTCACGGTAGGCTGGCTGGAGGTTCGCCCCTGAGGCGGATGTCCTGTCGGAAGCTGTCGTCTCAGATGATGGATCTGACGGGGAATGCTGCCAGGAGAAGAGAAGGAATAATAAATGAGTAAATATTTTCAGCAGCAGTGGAAACAAAAACAACACTGAGGCAGTTCATCAGATAACAACTCTTTAGGGTTAAACTGTTTTTGTTCAGATTTGAACAAAAGATGTCTTCCACAAGTTGTCCCAACCGTTCCCCACCCTAGTCCTTCCCTCTATCCCAGCATGGCTATTGCTAGCTTGATACTTTTCTTAAAGCTTCTACCCCCAAGCCATAAGACCGCTAAATAGTTAGTTAAATAGTTACCCAATAGCTAGCTACTTCTTTTTGTACTAGCTCTTCTGACTCATTACATATGCTGCTGCTACTATTTATTATCTATCCTTGAACACTAATAGAATAAAACAATGAATAAAAGTCCCATGATGCTTAGTGACTGCCCATTACTCCTTATCATTTATTAACCATCATTTATTTACATTACTTTCCTGTAAGTCGCTCTGGATAAGAGCGTCTACTAAATGACAAAAAAAAATATATATATATATATATACTTTTTTATTATTATAAATAAATCAAAAAAAATTGAAAGAAGAAAAATAAAATACTTTTAAAAATATTTCAGTAGTGTTTATTACATTTGTTTTATTTGATGACTATTATTTCATTCCAAGTCTTCATCTCATCTCTATAGAGCTGCTGCATATGCTGTCTGACAAAATCACTATTTTGTAGATCTTCAAAGTAAATAAGGCAAACTTATATGACTAAGTAAGGCATACTTTTATGACTGCTGAATACCAACAATCATATAGATCATGTATTTTCAGGTAGAGTTTCCTCGCGATACCCTCACGATCGCGCATTCTTCTCTCTTCTGTAGCATGCGTAAAAGAAACAGACAGGACAAGTAGATGTGCAATGGATTATGGTCATTGTAGTTAATTACCACGTTTTATCTAGAATATTGGCCTGTTGGAAACTACAACTCCCTACTACATCGCACAGTTCAGGCTGGATCTGATTTATCTCTAGAGAAACTGTGCAATGTGCGACATTGAGCTCACAGAAGAAAAAAAACGAACAAAACAAATTTCAAATCTACTGAACAAAAATATAAAAACGCAACAATTTAAGATTTTACTGAATTACAGTTCATATAAGGAAATCAGTCAATTAAAATTAATTCACTAGGCCCTAATCAATGGATTTCACATGACTGGGAATACAGATGTGCATCTGTTGGTAACAGATATACATTTTTTTTAATGTAGGGGGGTGGATCAGAAAACCAGTCAGTATCTGGTGTGACCACCATTTGCCTCATGCAGTGCGACATCTCCTTCGCATAGAGTTAATCAGGCTGTTGATTGTGGCCTGTGGAATGTTGTCCCACTCCTCTTCAATGGCTGTGCGAAGTTGCTGGATATTGGCAGGAACTGGAACACGTTGTTGTACACGTCGAGCCAGAGCATCCCAAACATGCTCAATGGGTGACATTTCTGGTGAGTATGCAGGCTATGGAAGAACTGGGACATTTTCAGCTTCCAGGAAATGTGTACCGGTCCTTGCGACATGGGGCCGTGCATTATCATGCTGAAACATGAGGTGATGGCAGCAGATTAATTGCACGACAATGGGCCTCAGGATCTCGTCATGGTATCTCTGTGCATTAAAATTGCCATTGATAAAATGCAAGTGTGTTTGTGGTCCGTAGCTTATGCCTGCCCATACCATAATCGCACTGCCACCATGGGGCACTCTGTTCACAACGTTGACATCAGCAAATCGCTCGACGCCATACACGTGGTCGGTGGTTGTGAGGGCGGTTGGACATACTGCCAAATTCTCTAAAACGACATTGGAGGCAGCTTAAGGTAGAGAAATGAACATTTATCTGGCAACCGCTCTGGTGGACATTCCTGTCGTCAGCATGCCAATTGGGTGCTCCCTCAAAACTTGAGACATCTGTGGCATTGTGTTGTGACAAAACTGCACATTTTAGAGTGTCCTTTTACTGTCCCCAGCACAAGGTGCACCTGTCTAATGATCATGCTGTTTAATCAGCTTCTTGATATGCCACACCTGTCAGGTGGATGGATTATCTTGGCAAAGGATAATTGCTCACTAACAGGGATGTAAACAAATTTGTGCACAACATTTGAGCGAAATAAGCTTTTCGTGTGTATGGATCATTTCTGGGATCTTTTATTTCAGCTCATGAAACCAACACTTTACATGTTGCGTTTATATTTTTGTTCAGTGTAATTGAACCGACGTTGGTCAATTAGTTTAAAACCCCCCAAAAATAACACATTTTGGTTAATCGCTCAGCACTAATCCCTACCTATATGTACACATCTACTTCAATTACCTCATACCCCAGCACATCGACTCGGTACTGCTACCCTGTGTATATAGTCAAGTTATCGTTACTCATTGTGTAATTCTTCCTTGTGTTATTATTTTTCTATCATTTCCTCTGCATTTTGGGAAGGGCCCGTAATAAAGCATTTCGCTGTTAGTTTACGCCCGTTGTTTAAGAACCATGTGACAAATACAATTTGGTTTATTCTTTAGTTCAGCATGGAGACAATTTACTAAATCTAAACCGATAGGTCTATAGAGAAAGAGCAAATCTCCAAGTTAGCCTTATAGAGACAATACATGCAAATTATCCAGACTGTGCTGGCTCTAATCTGAATTCTATTGTTAAAGAGTCAGGGGCTAGGTCTAATCTAGCCTCTATTCCTATAGCGAGTCAGGGGCTAGGTCTAATCTAGCCTCTATTCTTGTAGAGACAGAGCTAGCTCTCCTCTCCCCTGCTCTCTATCCCCAGTAGAGCTGGGCTGACAGGAAACACGTTGGCAGCTGTTTGGGGCTTCCAGCTGCCCGCAGTCCCAGTAGCAGATGGGGCGAAGGCATTATGACACGAATAAATTATATCCATACTTCAAAAAAAAGGAGGGGGGGAGTGCATTTATGGACATAAGCAAATTTACTGCAATATGCCACAGCTCTCTCCGAAGGAGTCTCAAAAACATCCCTTGTCTGAGCTAGTTTGAGTGTGTGCAAGTATTTCCACTAAAGGGAGTAGAGAAAGAAAGGAAGGAAATTCAAAAGAATGAAAGATGAGGTCCCGTTTGTAGCATGCTCGTTTTATCTCGGATGCCTGCAGATCGCTCAAAGACAAAAAACTTTTTGAGGAACCTCAACCGCGGCAGTCAAATGCAAATTTCCTGTAAACAAGTGAAGAGACAGATTGGGTGCATGGTGCATGCCAAACATCACCAAGGTCACAGAATGCATTCACGCCCATCACCAAACAGAGGTGTGCAGAAGCCAGGCTGGCCATAGAAATAGAGAGGCGAGAGAGGAGGGCTTGGGCTGCTGCTTTAACGGATAAATGTCTCCTCTTGCCCAGCTTCCCCGATAATCAATCACATGAATGACAATGGGCCCGATGCACGCACGCACTCACTGCATCGCTAATGTGACAGCAGCAGCGCAGAATACGATACGGCCGGTATTGGGTTTCATCTCTCAGAGGGGGAAGAGTGACGTGCCGGTTATTCTGGCAGCCAAAGTGCTCGCTCTCTGAGCTAAATACTCCCTGAAGGAGCAGAGCAGAGGGCGGCCACTGCTGCTGAGTGGCTGTGGTCCTTCACCACAACACTTCCAGGGTGAACTAAGCCATTGCAACGCTACAAATATGGCCCTCCATTTTTCATATTCAGTATTCCTTGAAGGAAGCATAAAATATGGACAACGATGGCATTACAAATAACAGGCAAGATGTTTAGTCAACTGTATTGTCTCTGGTGATCGAGAACCATTGGCTTGACCGTCTGGGGTTAGTCAATTCCTTGCAACTAGCAGACCCTGTTTTGCTCCCAGGCTAGGGTTAGAAACTCCTGGGACCCCCTGTCTTTCAATAGCCCTGTGCCAATCATGGTTAAGTTCAGTTTCATTACAATTCAGGAGATTTCTTTACAATGCTGGTTGTTCAATTAATTTTTCTGAATAGAAAATTCGTCCCATCTCTGATGCCAATTCAACACTCCTAAAACAAAATGGCAGGCCTGTGGCCTAGGGGTGTAAAAGACCCCCAGACACCCATCAACTGCTGTTTCCTTTTGTTGTGGTTTTTGGAGAGGGTGGGGCACCTTATGAGTCTTTGAGTTGGAGCACTTGAGGGACAGGGCTGAATATCCTAAAATGGGCCCTTACCATCATTGGAGGATAAGTTGGTGTTCCAACAGCCCCAAGGAATAAGGGAACTGACTTTAAAACTTTAACTTAATTTGACTTTGTTGATGCCAACCAAAAAGAATAACATTCACTATGCTTTAGCCAGGAATGAATAGGAAGCTATGAGCTAACCAGGTACAGAATTCCTACAACAGCTGAATTTGACAAGGCAGAGAATCTGCAAAGACACCTTTTCTTATTAAAAAGTACTCTTGAATTCATCTTTCAGTTTATCCCCTTGAAAACAAAATGGACTAGTGGGAGCTGAAGTGATAAACATGTGCCAGTTCCAGCAGACATTTGTAGACATTAATTCCGTCAAATGTGTCCAGTTCGCTAGCATCTACTCATAAAATCTATGGGCTTTTTAAACTTGCCCATACTCTGAATGGGATCATTATGGATGCAATGCTACTGAAGAATGCCATCCATACTTGTAGCCTTCAACACTTGCAGGTGCAGCTTATGGCCCTCGTAAAGCATTTTATAATGAAATACATATAGCCGGCACCGCCAAAATGCAAAGCAATATTTTCCAGCTCTGTAGGCACAAGGCAGACAGATACATTCATAATATTCCAGGTAGCTTGGTAATCCATTGTTTCCCACATCATTGCTTTGGCAGACGGGGAAATGATGAATCAGAGTTCTGCTGCCTCCTTGCCTGATGGGAAAAAAAACGGGCATTGTGTCGTTCGGTTGGAAAAGTTGATGCCACCTGCTCTACTAGCTACCCATAACATGGTTCTACACTAACTTTTTCAGTTGGTGGCACCAGCAC